CTTCGCTGGCTGCCCAACTATTATGGTGACGACGAATGAACCATTTATTGCGCTACCGACGCTCGCTCCGTTTACTATCGCGTCTTCTTCGGTGAGGAAAATGGTATGATTGCCCGCCTGTTGTTCAGATAAAACGAGTTTGAATAATTGCGAAATGTGGGAAATAAACGCGGCAATAGGTTTGATTTTCGATTTATTTTTCGCGCACCTTCGGCTCGATGCACGATAAATCAACAGCCGGCGCTTCACCGTCGCCTGCAGTGTAAACCGTCGTTGTTCCGCTTAATTGCAACGTGTTTGCTGCGCGCAAAAAAAGAAGTCAAGTCGTCAGTTACGTGAGCTTTGAGCGCAGACGGTTCGTGTTCAAAATAATGAAAAAAGGAAACGCGCGGAAGCTGAGCCGGTGGAAATAAAAACAAGTGCGTTCTGTTCGTACATGTAAACTTTATCTGTCGAGCGACGGTGTGAGCGTCTGATACCGCGAACCGGTCGGAAGTGCCCATGAAATTTCCACCTCCGTCGAGGACTCGCACAGTGAAGTTATCGAAGTTCACGAGACTCGCTGCGGGAAAGGGTCCGAAGTCCGCAGGTAGGTTCGCAGCGAGCTGATATCCGCGATAACCCAGGGTCACGCTGATAATTTGATCGACGGAATCGAACCCGAGTGCAGAAAATCGAAGCGTGTACTCTCCGATCAACGGTGAAACCGCGTAAATCGGATTCGACGGGTCCGCGAATTTCCAAGTCCCAGTGTCGTTTCCCACCAGTGCTTCCAAAGTTCCTTCGAGTACCAGAGCCGGGTCCGAAGGACTCGAAGCCGACACCGTGACCCCCTCCGTGTAGTTCGTTCTCACCCAGTTGTTTCCGCCGTCGTACGCTCCGATTTCGACGCTCTGCGGTATTTGCACCCTCGCTTCAGTCGCGTCCATGGATATCGTTCCGTACGTGCCGTTCACTTTAAGGTACACCGCCTTTCCGAGAGATAATTTCACAACCGTGTGCGTGTACGCGACGTTCGAATCGAACGTCGTGCTAAACTGCACTATGTACTTAACGTCGGTCCCGTGATCGCCTAAGGACGCGTCTCCGTACGTGACGTCCGTGCCCGCGCCTGGAACCCGAGCCCCCGAAGGAGCCGCGGAGTCGAGGCTCAGGTCGAGGAACTTCACGAACCCGGCGGAGGAATCCTTGGACGTCGTCCCGCCTAAAAACGCGCCCGTCGGTCTCGGGACGTGAACGCCGTTCGAGTCAACCTCCGTGGACACCACGGTGGCGACGACGGTGTGACTCACGGTGTCAAGCGTTTCAAGCCCGTTACCCCCAGCGTCGATCGTGCCGACTATGATGTAACCAAGTTGAACCGACTGCGTCGAGTTGCGGGCGATCACGTCGTACGGAAAACCATCCGAAGTCGCGTACGCGCCGGCACTGCCGGGTTTCACGTGCAAACCTACCGCCTTTCCTGGTCGTATGGCGACCGCGAGAGAAGCGATGGCACTGAGAGGCGTGCAAGGCTCTCCATTCGTGCAATCCTCGCCGGAGAAATCGATCGTGTAATCGCCACGGATGGGAACGAAGTCGAACGCGACGTGGAACGTCGCGGAGCCGTTCACGGTCGTTTGCGTCGAAGTCGCCGCCGTCACCTGCAGCGTCGAGGCGCTCGACCCGGTCGACGCGGTCGCGTTCACCGAGGCCGTGATTTTGAATCCTCGAGTCCCCCCCGCGCCCATGTCGTCTATCACCTTCGTACCCAGAACGTCGATCAAATCCACGACCTGATCGTCGTAAAGCAGAAGCGTCCCGTCCGACTCCGCGGTCGCCTGATACGCGTACGACGGGTCTCGATCGTGCGTCACCGCCAACCCGTGCGGAGGGCCGTACGCGCTGAGCACGACGGTACCAGACGAATGAAAGTCGACACCGTTTATGGAAATGGAAACGTCCACGTCGGGCTTGGGAGTGCCACCAGCGAGCCAGGCGAAAGGAATGTACTGCGGCGAGTTCACTTGGCCGTGCGTGCCGCACCGGTTCCTTCCAGTCGCGTTGGACACGACGCACAAGGGACACTCCATCAAAGTCTGCGAGATGTAGGTTCCCGGAAGGTCGCTCGAGCTATCGCCGTTGTAGCGACACGTCAGTCGTTGGACCGATCCCGCGAGGCTGCCGTCGCTGTCGATGAATTTACCGCCGTAAATCTTGAGCGTCGCCGGGTTCAAGTCCGGGTCTTCACCGGTGAATAAAATTTTCGCGTTGAAGTCCGTTTCGACCCCATCGTTAGGCATGTCGTGACCCGTCGTCTCGAGCTGCAGAAGGTTCGGCGGGTCGTAGTAGAACACGATCGCCTTATCGTTATTCCACAGCGATCTTTGCCAGTAGAACGTGCTGTCTCCGTCCACGGGAAACCCATCGAACGATATCTGCACCTCCGCGTGCGTCGTCGACGTCGAAATCGTGTTTGCCGCTGACGGGACTTCGCACGTCAACTCCGTGGACGAGACGACCGTCGCGGGGACCCAGCCCGTGGTCTGGAAATTCGCGTCCACGACGCTCGCGTGCCCGAACCTGCAACTCACCGTGTGCGTCTTATGCGTCGGGTCGTCGTTCGCGGGGGTGTAAAACCCGGTTCCGTGGATCGTTACCAGCGTCCCCGTCGTCGTCGACGAGACGAACTGCGGCGAGATCGACGTGATCGACGCGGTCGAGTACTTCGTGTACGTCGTGCTCGAATCTCCCCGGCTCAGGGAGACGATCCCTTTAAGGTCCGCGACGTACGCGAGTCCGCCAAAGGGAACGATCTCCTTGAACGTCCCTACCCTCTTGAAGCATCCGGAGACGCACCCGGCGGCGACGTCGACTCCGCCGATCTCGACCTTCACGATCCTACCAAACGCCGTGTTCGACTTCGGCCCGACGGCGAGGTACATGAACCCCGCGTCCGCGTCCGCGGCATCCGGTTCGATGGTCGCGGCCCACACGTCCTTCTCGTCTAATCCCCCTTCCCCGCCGTTCAATGCTATCATCGCGGACGGGCTGTCTCCTTCGGAAAAGTTTAGAGGAAACACGAAGACGCACGCGGAGCGATGCTCGCATCCTACGCAGTTCTCGTCCCTTCCAGAAGTTCCCGCGTATCCGAACGACCCGTGCTTCGTGACAATCGTGAACGTCGTGAACCGCCCTTGTTTCGCGTCCACGACGCCTTCGCACGCGCTCGTCACTTTCACCGCGGTCGCGTCCAGATACATCTCGACGCCGTGCCCGTTCGCGGCGACGAAATCGTCTCGCCCCGCGGGAACTTTGAACAACGCGGGATACGACGTCCCGTCCGCCTCCACCTTCGCCGCGCCAGCGAATATCACGAACGCGTCCGCGCCGCTCAATGCGTACGTCGCGGTCTCGAACTTCAGAGCGTCGTACGACGTCGCGCACGCGGCGCACTTACCGCTGAGCAAGTCCGCGACGAGCGGCGTCTCCGCCTCGACCGTCAGCGTCGGGGATAGCAACCCGATCGTCGCTTGCGACGCACCGTCCGCGTTCGAGACCTTGTACACGACGTGTCCGGTCGCCTCGTTCGACGCCATCGCGTCTATGATCCCGTTGCCCGAATATGCGTGACTCGGATCTCGATTGTTATCCGAACCGATCACGCAGTCGTCCCACGCCGCGGACGAGCAGTCTGTCCCGAGATATTTCACGATTTTAAACGCGAACGCGGGATCCCCGGCGGCGCTCTTGTGCATGTTGTGAACGCCGTACACCCCGGTGATCGAACCAGACGTATCCAGCGCGAGTCCTCGAAACACGGAGTACCAACCCCCCGATGTCGCCGCGTCCGCATGCCCGTTCGCCCTCGCGTGCGTCACCGCCGCGCACCCGGGTTCGGTCTGTATCCCAACCGCGGCGCCGCAGTACCCGGAGGTCGGCGTCAACGGCGTCGGCTGCTTCGTGTTCGGGTCCGCGCGGTTCGGACCGCTCGAGCGCCACCCCCGGGATGTGAACCCACCCGATGTGTACGTCGCCGGGTTCAAAGGGTCCGCCTCGTACACGACCTCCGCGCCCGTGTTCGCGTCGTACGCAGAGACGAAGAGCACCTTCTTCGAAGGATCGAAGACGACGTCGGAGACTTGAATCTCCGCCGCGGGGGAGACGACGTACGAATACGCGTACTGGTCGTCTCGTCGCTTCTCTTTGGATATCCCCGGGTTCGGGAGCTCGCAGCCCTCTCCCGTCCACCCGGGCGCACACGCGCACGTCCCGTCCTCCTGGCACGTCCCGAGGCCGCCGTTGAAGCGGTTGCACTCGTCTTTACAGTAATCGAACGCCCTCGGTTGAACGACCGGTAGGACGCTCATGACGAAGAGCACGACGAGCGAGCGCATCGCCGTGCTCCGCCGAGTACGCGTGGACGTCGAGGACATCATGGACGGGGTAAACCGAGCGAGTGTCATCGTGCGAGCGTCCGTGCCGTGCGGCGTTCGAGCGACAAGATTATTATATCACCGTATAATAATGCATAATCGACGCTCCGCGGCGGCCCGCGGCCATCCCGTGCTCGTTCGTCTTTTCGATTGGCTACGTATCGAGAAAAGAGTTCTCGCTAAGGCGGGAAACGGAGCTAGTCTCTGCGTTCCGGCGCCTCTAGATGTGGCAAAGCACGCCGTCGGTGAAGGCGAATCGTATGCACGCTGCGCAAGCCAAAAAAACTCAAAAGTTCGCGCGGCCCCGCTCAGCGCTACCCGCCAGATTTCCAGACCCGGGCCCAACCGCCAAGAGGTTTTGATTTTTCGAGTACGACTCGAACGACGCAAATCCTGACTCGATTCCCATACGAGTACGAGTAGTTTCTTTGAATTCCGATTCTTTTTTCTGTATTTATTTGGGTTTACTGTACATGTAATATCGGGTGCGTTTTTTGTTTTGGTTCATGTTTTGGTTTTGAACTGTTGGGGGTGTTGTCGGCGAAAGGGAGCGGGGGCGTTGAGGCGCGACGGCGCGCTTTGAATTTATGAATTGCTGCTTGCGTAGTATTTACATGCTCTGAAAGAATTCGAAAGAATCACTACTTGCTTATTTCCCAACCCACCCCGTTCACGCGTGACGCGAACCTTGCTTAGAATTAGAAAGGTTTACGCGCGGCGTGATAAACTTCGATGTACTCGAGCGCGGGCCTGTTCCAACTCCAGTCCTGGGTCATGCAGTTCCTCTGCAGCTCCCTGAAGTCACCCGGCCTGTTGTAAAAGAGGTCGATACCTCTGTCCAGGGCGTAGTCGATCGACGACTCGTCCACCCCGTCGAAGCTGAAACCGTTCGGCTTCATCCCCTCCCACTCCGCTTTCCCGTGATCGATGTCGTAATCGAACACGGTGTCGTTCAAACCACCCGTCCGCCGCACGATCGGCACCGTACCGTACCGCATCGCGATGAGCTGCGACAAACCGCACGGCTCGAACATGGACGGCACCAAGATCATGTCCGCACCCGCGTAAATAAGGTGCGACAACGGTTCGTTGTAGTACAGGTGGAAGCACATGAAGTCGTGGTATCCTTGTTTCAGCTCGTGGAACATCTGATCGAAAGACTGCTGCACCTCCGGGTCCGGCGCGGACCCGAGCATGACGACCTGGCAGCCCCGCTCCAACGATCGCATGATCCCGTGCTTGATGAGGTGGATGCCCTTCTGCGTCGTCAAACGCGTGACGATGCCGATCATCGGCGCCTCCGTCTTGTTCGGGATGTTGCTGTGCGCGCACAACGCCGCCCTCGCCGCCGCCTTGCCGTCGTTGCACTCGTGCTCGTCGAAGTACCTCGGAAGGAAGTCGTCGTTCGCGGGGTCCCAGATGTCCGGGTCGATGCCGTTCACGACGCCGTGGAACTTGTCGAGGTTTTCGTAGATCGACTCGTGCCCGGACACCTCCTCGCGGTACGTCCTCGACACCGTCGTGCTGACCTGCGAGTACGTCATCGCCTCCTTGATGAGCGGCGCGCCGTAGTTCAGGTTGTGAATCGTAAACACGATCCTGGGGTTGGAGAGGCCAAACTTGTGGTAGTCCTCCCAGTAAGATCGCGCGACCGGCGCGGTCTGCCAATCGTGGCAGTGGATGATGTCCGGCTGACGGTTGCTCTGGAGCATCCACTCCAGCGCGGCTTTGCTGAAGAACCCGAATCGCTCCGCGTCCGTCATCGGAATCTCGAGGTAATCCGTGCCGTAAATCATCCCAACCTGGAACATGCCGTTCTCCGGATCGATGAAGTACGTGTCCACGCCCTCGACGATACCGTGGAACACCCTGTTGTACGTGCTGCCCCACGCGAACCCGGTGATCTCCTTGAAGTCCTGGATAGCCTCGTAGTTGATGACGTCGTACTTCGGGACGACGACCTCGACGCGGTGTCCTTCCTCCTTCATCGCTCTGCCGAGGCCGGTGACGACGTCGCCGAGACCGCCAACCTTCGCGATCGGGGCCATCTCGACGGAGACGCTGACGATATGCATCGGCTTCTCCCCGACCTTGTTCCCGCCGATGTCCTTCCCTCCCTTGATCGGGACGTGGTAATCGAGGCGGTTGTTGTTGTCGAACATCCCGGTGCCGTCTGGCGAAGACGCGAAGACGAAGTCCATCTTGTACGCGTCCGCAGGGACTTGGAACTCCGCGACGACGTGCGTCTGCGTCGGGTCGCTCCTCTCCATCTTAATCGGCCCGATGTTCTCGATGTGCGACCAGCGGTTCCACCCGCCGACGATGTACACCTCCGCGGCGGTTTTCATGCACGTGTTCGAGGGGTTGTAGTGCACGCGGACCGTCTCGCCCGCGAGCGGCTGCGGCGGGTCGACGAAGAGGACGTGCTCGCGCTGCTTGCGCGTGACCTCCGCGGCCGCAGCCTTGGACTTCATGCGGATCTTGTCGCGGCGTTCCTTGCGAATCGCCGCCTTCTTCTCACGAACGAAGCGCTCTTCCACGAGATCGTGGTACAGCTCGACGGCTTGGCGATACCGCTGGACGTCGAGCTGCTCCTCCGCGCCGTCGATAGGGACGTGGTAATCCGCGCGGGTATTATTGTCGTACTCGGAGCCGCCGTCGCTGAACACGAAGTCCATGACGAACGCGTCGTCTGGAACGTCCACCGTGGCCTTCTGCCACCACGATCCTTTAACGGCCTTAACCGGCTTGCCGAGAACCTTGAACCGCCCCTTGACGGGCTGCATGACCTCCTTCTGCGGCTCCTCCCAGTTGTTGCAGCCGGAGTTGATGGTGATGCTTCCGTACTGCTTCACCCCCGCGAGGTTGGTCGCCGCGGCGTTGTAGTAGACCGTGACCTCGCCGCCAGCCTCGGGCATCGCGGGCTCGACGAACCAGTGATCGCCCGTCTTCGGGACGGTGCCGTTCTTGACGACGTGAAGGAGGTGGCCGATCGTCTCGTCCGCCTGCTTCTTCGCCGCTTGCCAGTCCTCCGCGTTGCCTTCGCCGGATTTGATCAGCTTGTCGAGGTCCTTGTACGCTTGCTTTGGGTTCTTCTTCGCCCGCGCCTTCGCCTTCTCCATGGCCTTGGCTCTTGCCTTGGTTTCCGCGATTTCCTGCTCCTCTTTTTCCTTCTTGATGCGCGCGGCCTCTTCGGCTTCGGCTTGGATCCGCGCCGCCTCTTCGGCGGCGGCTTGCGCGATCGCGGCTTCCTCCGCGGCGGCTTCCTTCGCGAGCGCGTCCGCGGCGATGGCCTTCTCCGCCTGTGCCTTCGCTATCGCCTTGTCCGCGGCGGCTTTCTCCGCGGCGGCGGTCGCGCTCGCGGCGCGATCCGCGGCAGCCTTCTCCGCGGCGGCGCGGTCCCCCTTGGCCTTGTCAGCCGCAGCCTGATCGAGCGCATATTTCGCCTGCGCGCCCTCCGCGGCGATCGCCTTGAGCGCTTCCGGGTCTGCCGCGGAGAAGATGTCCGCGGCGAGCTTCGCCTCGGTGGCGTCGTTTTGCGTCGCGCGCGCGATGATCGCCTTCTCCTCCGCGACTTCGATCACCTTGATGATCGCGACCGCGGCCTCGAGGGCAGCCTTCTCCGCGGCGGAGCACGCCTCGGACGCGGCGGCCATCTCCGTCGCGGTCTGCGCTTGCGCGATCGCGTCCGCGGCGACTTTCGCCTTTTGCGCCGCGGTCGTCGCCTGCGGGAGCGGGGGCATCTTCGCGCGGATCTTGCTCTCGGTCTCGACTTTGTTCATGACCTGGAGCTTCACGAGCTCCGCTTTCGCGGCGTCGAGGGCTCTCGCCTTCGCGGTCGCGATCGCTTTCGCCTTCTCCTCGAGCGCGGTCTTCGCTTCCGCCTCGGCCTTGGCCGCGATATCCGCCTGGGCCGCGAAATACTGCTTCGCCGCGGCTTGCTTCTCCGATTGCGTCATCGCCGCCTTCTTCGCGGCTTCCGCGGCGGCTTGCTCCGCGGCCATCGCGGCGGCGGCAATTTCGTCGGCCTCCTTCTGAGCCGCGGCAGCCTTGGCTTCCGCGGCCGCGAGAGCGGCGGCTTCTTCCTCTTCCTTTTGCTTCTTCGCCGCAGATTGGACGGCTTCAGTCTCGGCGGCTTGGCCGGCGGCGAGCGCGGAGGCTTCGTCGTCCACCATGGGCACAACCTTGACAGGCGGCGTCGGCGCTTTCGGCGGCGCGGGCGGCGTAGGCGGTTTCGGCGGCGCGGGCGGCGTCGGCGCAGCCGCTTCGGGCGCGGCGATGCCCATGAGCGCGGTGGCCTCGTCGCCGCCGTTCATGTACGCCGCGGCAGCCGCGGCTCTCGCCTTGGCTTCCGCGGCGCGCTGCGCCTTCGTGTCCGCCGGGTTCATACCGGTCGCGCCAGTCGGGGACGGCGCCTTCGGCGGCTCGGGGGGCGTCGGCGGCATGAGCGCGGCGGCTTCGAGCTCCGCGCCCGCGAGGGCGGCAGCCTCGAGGGCGGCAGCCTCGAGGGCGGCAGCCTCGGCGGCGTCGTCGTCGAGTTCCACAGGTTTATCCACGACGGCGACGGCGACGGCGGACGAGGCCATCTCGGCTTCTTGAGCCGAGGCCTCGAGCGCGGCGGCTTCTTCAACAGCGGCGGCGTTGACCTTCGCCCTGGTTTTCTCGGCTTCCTCCTCAGCCTTCTTCGCGCGCGCTTCCTTCTCCGCGAGGAGTTCAGCCTTGGCTTGTTCCGCGGCAGCCTTGGCTTGTTCCGCGGCAGCCTTCGCGGCCTCGGCTTGCGCGAGCGCGGCTTCGGCCTCGGCCTTCACCTGCGCTTCCTCGGCTTCGACCTTCGCGACTTCTTGTTCGCGCATAGCCTGAGCTTTCGCGGCTTCGACGGCTTCCTTCTCCACCTTCGCCTGCTCCTCCGCCGCGGTTTGTGCCTGCGCTTGCTTCTCCGCGTTCGTCGTCTGCGAGCGAAGGTTCTGCTCCAGCTCCATGATGCGCTTCAGCTCGGCTTGCTTCTCGAGAAGACCCGCGAGCTCGGATTGTTTTTTCTCGATGGCTGCGCTGTTCGACACGGGTTGCCCCTGGTTTACGGCCGCCCTCTGCTTGAGCTCGAGGTTCTCGATCTCCATCTGCTTCAGCTGGAGAAGCGCGACGTTCTCCTGCTGAAGCCTCTGAAGCTCCGCGCGCATGTCCTGGCTCGACGGGCGCTCGTTCCTGTTCTTCAGGCTGGCGATCTTTTTCCGCATCTGCCTCACCTCGGAGGAGCTCGGCGCGGGGGTGTCGGGGGACAACATCGCGCGGAGTTGGTTCTCCGCCTTGGCGAGCTCCGCGTCCGTGTCCGCGGTCGCGGAGGGGACGACGGAGGAGGACCTTTGCCCGCCATTTTGGGGCGTGCGCGGCAGCGCGCGGCGACCTGATGCGAGAGCGCGGGCGCGGGATGGTGAGATAACGACCGCGTCGTGGTGCGTGTGGTGGAGAAAAAGAATTGAAACGACGGCGCGCGGGGAAACGAGGGAAACGCGACGCGCGCGCGATCTCGCAAGCGGGTTTGAGACGCGCACCTCCGGGGGCGAGTTTAGACGCGACGAAGCGTCCGGAGACCTGCGTTAGTGAGGAAGAACGCGAGCGGATGTCAGCGGAGAGCAGGGTGAGGACGGGACGAGCCGCGAAGGGGCGGGGACGGGAGGCTGGGAGCAGCAGTGCGTAGAATTGCCCACGCGCACCTGCGACGCGCGCGCGTTCGTCGCGACGGTGGGTGTTGCTCCCTTGCGTTCCCCACCGACGGTGGGGGCGACGCGTATAGCGTTGACCGCGACGGAAGAGACCGCGGGCGCCATGATGGAGCTGCGTGAGGCTTTGTGAAGCGCGCGGTCGTGATTCTTTGCGGGTAAAAAAAAGCACGGAACCTATCCACAGGACTTATTCCCGCGCAATCGCCCGGAGCCGTCCGATTTTTTTTTCGTGGCTGTGAGCGACGAAGGCTTTCGAAAGTGTATGGCGTACGTCTTGCGTACGCGCATTTAGTCTCACATTTCTGACGTTTGGCGACCGTTCCGTTCGGAGATTCGCAAATCGTTAATGGCGCGAAATCGCTTTCGACCGAGCGTTGTTGATCTGTTGTTGATCGGTCGTGGCGCTTTCGAGCGTCGAAAGTTCTCGATCGGCGAGTCGGCGAGTCCGGCGTCAAAATCGCGGCACCCCGTGCGCGTGCGTCGCCGTGGCCGTCTTCATTCACGAGCGCGCGCCGCCGCCGCCGCGCGCCGCGTTCACCCCAGAGAACCGGCACGAGCGATGGCGATCGAAATGGCGTCGATCCGCGCGAGCGTCGCGCCGTGCGCGCGACGCGCGACGCCGCCGCCGCGCGTCGCGCGAGCCACCCGCGTGGCGACGACGCGGGCGACGGCGACGTCATCGTCGCGCGAAAAAGCGCGCGTCGTCGTCGTCCGCGGTCGGGCGCGGCGCGGCGGCGAGCCGCGCGAACGCGTCCGCGCGCGATGCGCGATCACGCGCGTGGGCGAATCCGCGGACGATTCCGACGACGACGACGCGAACGTCGCGGAGGTGGAGAGGAACGCGGACGGTTCGCTCCCCCCCGACGCGATCCAGATTCCGATGCCGAAGCGCCGCGCGCAGCTCACGTTCACGTGCGATAAGTGCGAGGCGAGGAGCACGAAGATGGTGAACCCGGACGCGTACAAGCGAGGGACGATGTTCGTGCAGTGCCCGAACTGCGAGGTCTGGCACAAGATCGTGGATAACTTGGGGATGATATTCGAGCCGTGGAACGACGAGCGGCACGCCGCCAAAAACGCCGCCGTCGTCGCCGGCGACGCCGTCGTGTCCCCGGAGGCGTCGTCGAACGCGCCGGAGGAGGACGCGGACGGCGTGGAGGAGGACGACGACGCGATCGAGAAGGCGTGACGTGGTCGTCGCGCCGCGTAGATTGTGAGTAGCGTAGAGTAGTGTTTTGTCGTGAACGCGAACCGTAGGGTAAACAGACAGCACACTCTGTGCTTCCGTGTGGCCGCGCACGGCTGCGAGCGGAGAGGACGTCTTGATTTCACAACGAGATGAGCGCGCGCACCGCGGGGCGTCTCGCGCGAGGACCCGTCCCGGATGGGTTGTCGCGCGCCGCGCGCCGCTCCTTGGCGACGCGCGGCAGGGCTCGCGTCGCCGCGACGCGCGTGGGGACGGACACCCTGGGCGTCGTCGTCGTCGACCACGGGTCGAGACGGAAAGCGTCGAACGAACTGCTGGCGCGTCCGTCGTCCGTCGCTCTCGCGTCGTCCCCCTCGCGCCCCCCCGCTCTCGCCTTCGCCCATCGTCTGACCACGCGCCCGATGCCTCGCCGCCCGCAGGAGGAATTCGTCAGGATGTACGTGGAACACACCGGGAGGGGGCTCGTGGAGCTGGCGCACATGGAGATCGCGGAGCCGTCCATCGACGTCGCGTTCGCGCGGTGCGTCGAGCGCGGCGCGACGCTCGTCGCGGTGAGCCCGTTCTTTCTCTCGCCGGGAAGGCACTGGCAAGAGGTACGCCGCCCGCATCCCGTCGTCGTCGGTCGGTCTCCACGCCTCGCGACGCCCCGACCCCTACCGACGACGTGACGTCCGTCCTCACGCGTCCGTCGTCTCTCGTCTCTCGTTCGCGAAATACGACAGGACATCCCGAAGTTGACCGCGGCGGCGGCGGGGAAACATCCGGGGGTAAAATACTTCGTCGCCGCGCCGATAGGGCTGCACCCGCTGATGAGCACGATCGTGGACTCGAGGCTGGAGACGTGCGTGAAGCATCTCACGGAGGGGGGGGGGAAGTGCGACCTGTGCGAAGGGAAGGCGTTCGGATGCGAGTTCGCGCGAGGCGGCGTCGGCGGCGACGCGTGACCACTCGTCACGGTAGATGATAATCGAACGCGAACAGCGGCGACGTGGGCGGCGTCGGCGTCTTCCGAGCGCGAGGAGAGACCGCGGTCGCGTAGAAAGCGCGTTCGCTTTGCCTATTACAAAACTACCCGCGCACCCGGTCCCGTCGGAGCACCGCCCGCTCCGCTCCGGCGCGTCGCGCTCACGCCTGGCCAATCTTCGCCTTGGTCTTCTGCCAGAGAAGGTCAGTGGCGCTGTCGCCGTCACCCTGAGAGTAAAGAGAGAGAGGGAGGGAGGGAGGCAGAGGCGTCAGCGTTCGTTCACGTTTTGACGCGCGCGAGCAAAGGGAGGGGCGCGCCGGCGCGGACGCCAGCCGAGCGACGCGAACGGGGGCGTCGCCGAGTCGGGCGGGTGACCGCGTCGCGTCACGCCGAGACGGCGCGGGACGAGCCGAAACGCGTCGTCCTCGCGGAGAGCGCCGCGCGCGGATCTCGCGTCCGCGAGCGCCCCCGTCGCGGGCGCGCGCGCGCGCGCGGCCCCTCGCGATCGAACCCTAGCCTAGCGGACGAGAGAGCACGAAAACCCTAACCGAGCGGGAAGGTCCCTCCGGGGAAACGCGCGCGCGCGAACGCGCGAACGACGCGCGCGCCCGCGCGAGCGCGTTCTGTCGTCTCCGCGCGCGTCTATCGCGCACGACGAGCGATGAGACGCACCATGTTCCTCACGTAGCCCGACAGCGCGATGGTCGTGTACTGGCCATTGAACACGCCGGTCTGGTCGAGGTGACCGACGTTAATCTGCACGGACGCGTGATCCTTCGCCTCGATGAGGCGGTTCGTCCAGCTGCACTTGCGGGGGATGTAAAGGTCGACGTTCTCACCCTCGGCGTTCTTCATTTTCGAAGAGTGTTCGTGTCGTGTGCGTGCGACGCGCGCGACAAAGAGGTCGACCGGGACGGTCGCGCGCACGGGAAACACGATTTTTTCTTCTTCTCCGGTCGCGGTCGGTCGAGTTGACCGGGTGATGCTGCAGCTAGCTATAATCACACACTCACGCGGCGCCCGTCACAGCTTGAACATCACCCTGTCGTCCTCCCCCAGCTTCGTCAACACCTCGGTCACCATCTCCGCGGAGTGCACGACGCACGTCACCCACACGCTGACGAACTTCCTGCTGCTCCCGCGGTTCTTCACCTCCACGGCGTCGTCGCCGACTTCGCACTCGCACGTCTTGCCGATGATGTTCTGCGAGGGCGACGCGAGGCGCGACGGTGAGACGCGAGCGACGGCGGACGCGAAAGTGTGCGCGTCGCTGAAGCGCGGCGGGCGGGCGCGTAAATAAACGAAACGACGACGTACCTTGACGATGTCGTCGATGTCTTCCTCGCTCAAGCTCGACGCCTTCCCTGAGTACTGAAACGTGTACGACGTCGGGAACTGCGTGAGCGTGTCGAAGATTTGCCCGCCGTCCTTCTCCGTGCTCGCGCCCGGGGGGTCGTACTCCCCGCGCATCGCGCGCACGGCGACGTCGAACCGCGTCGCGCCGAGATCGTTCAGGACTTGACCGGTTTTCGTGTCCACGAGGTCGCCGTCGTCGTTCAGGACGAGGTCTTTCAGCGCGTCGGGGATGTCGTCCGGGATCCGCGCGTCGATGTCGTCGTCGTCGTCCCCGGCCGCGCGTCGCGCCGTCGTTCCCGCGCGCTCGCGTCCCCTACGATCGACGCGACGCCGGATCGATCGCGACGCCGCCGTCGCCGGGGCGCGCGCCCGGCACGAAACGGAGGCGAGCAGAGCCGCGGCCATGACGCGACCGCGCGCCGCGACGAAGTGACGAAGCGACGAAGAAGGGACGGATAAAACAAGAGACGTGGCGAGCGCGCGTTCGCGGCGGCGGCGGCGGCGACGGGCGCGCTCGAGAGCTCGAGCGGCGGCGCGAGAGGAGGACGCGACGCGCGTGATGTGAAAGAATAACGCGTTGCATCGAGCGAGAAGAAGAAACGTCGTCGCGACGCGCGCGACCGTGGAACCGACCCGACTCTCCTCGTGCCTCGCGCGCCGCGTCGTCGCTCATCCATCCATCACTGGTCGCTCACGATGCCCAAGATCTCGCTGTCCGTGTACAGGAACGTCTCCTTCGCGCCGTCCTTCGAACTGAGCTTCACCTCGGTGCCGCCGTAGTCCGGCAAGAGCACTTTGTCGCCAACCTTGACTCCTGCGCGAGTGGTGCGTGGGGAACGCGAGACGTGAGCGAGGAGGAAGGCGCGTTCGGGGACGGAGGGACGACGGATTGATTTGATTGGAAGGCGATGGAAGGCGACGATTGACGGATCGGACGCACCCATCGGGATCAGCTCCGCGGTGTTCCCGGCGCGCCGGCCCGGCCCCACCGCGAGCACCTTCCCTTCGTTAATCTATAAGAAAACGGCGTGGGTGGGGAGGACGACGGTCAGGTCGTGAAGAAGCGCCGGGCGCGGGGAGCGCGCGATCGATCGTGGAAGGGGGCGACGAACGATCGCGACGAGCGACGTTACGCGCCTTCGACACCGCGGTCTCGGGGAGGAGGATGCCGCCGACGCTCTTCGTCGGCGCGACGATCTTCTCGACGAGGACGCGATCGAGCAGGGGGATGAGTCGTTTTGACATCGCGCCGGGTTCGCGCGCGCACGAACGTCGCGGTGCGAGTCTCGGTGTGTCGCGCAGACGTAGACGTCGAAGCTTTTACGGTTGCTCTTCGCGGCCTGTTAGCCCGAAAACTGTACTCGGAAACGTCGTACTCTGATGTGTGTATGAGCAAACAGTCAAAACCGCTCGCGTACTCTCAAATCAGCACAGAGGAACAGAAAACAAATCTCCTTAAGCCCCGACTCGCGCGCACTCGTCGCCCTCTTTGAGATCACTACCTCCACTCCGCGTGGTTAAAGTTGGGTTGTGCTTACAGAGCGTTTAAGTTCTCAAACCTCTCAGGTCCGCGCCTCCCCGCCCGCGCGCGCGCGCGTCGCCCCGGGCGTTCGTCCGGGCGGCGTGCGAAATCTTTTCACCGTCGCGCCACGCGGGGTTTTTCCGCGGCGTCGATCGAGCGTCTTCCGCGGCGCGAGGACGCGCTCGCGATCGTGGAATCGTCCACCGCTCGCGCGCGCTCGTCCTCGTCGTCGCGAGCGTTCGATCCCCGCCTCCGCGTTTCACCGTTCACTTCGCCGCGCGCGCGCGATCCCACCGGTCGCTGACGTTCTCCTCGAAAAAACCCTAAACCGACAGAAAATGTCCGGTGACCTCGCGTTCACCTACGCCGCGCTCATCCTGTCCGACGACGGTCAGGAAGTCACCGCGGACAAGATGGATACCATCGTCAAGGCCGCGGGCGTCACCGTGGAGCCGTACTGGGGCATGCTCTTCGGCAAGTTCCTCGCGACCAAGTCCGTCGACGAGCTCGTCGCCAACGTCGGTGCCGGTGCGTGTGCAGCCCTCGACGTCTTCGTCTTCCTTGTCTCTCCCTCCCCGCTCGCGCGTCCGTTGTCTGTCGTGAAACCCAGCGCTGACGTGTTTCTCTCTCTTCGATCTCGTGACATCAGGCGGCGGCGGCGGCGGCGGCGGCGGCGGCGGCGGCGGCGGCGGCGGCGGCGGCGGCGGCGGCGAGGCCGCGGCCGCGGCGCCGGAGCCCGAGGAGGAGGAGGAGGAAGAAGCCATGGACTTCGACCTCTTCGATTAAGCGTTCGCGTCTCGCCCGCTGTGGAGAGACTACGCGCGACGCGTTCGAATCAACACCGCGAACGTGTCGCTCCTCGAGTCGACGTGATAAAAAACTTGTAACGGAATGTCTTCGTTTCGTTCGCGCGCGTCGTTCACGCGCCTCCGCGCGCCGCGTTTGAATAAAAAACGCGCGACGACGACTCGTTCAATAAGTTATGATACACAATCGCCGCTAAGAAGTCCTACGTCCTCTCGCCCTCCGCTGGTCTCCGCTAATCTAACACATACATAAATACGCGCACCCCGCGAGCGTCCTCATCGCCTCGCGTCGAGCTCCCGCCTCAGCGCGTCGATCGCCTCGCGTTGCTCTCTCGCCGTCTCCGAGAGCGCCCTCACGGCCGCCGCGAGCTCCTTCACCCCCGCGAGCGCGTACACGCTGACGCGATCGTACGCCACGGACTTAAACCCGTCCGCGCCCGTGTGCACTAAATTCGGCAACACGCGCTCGAGCTCTTGCGCGATGAACCCAATCTGCGGCCCCTCTGGGAAAACCTTCGTCGGGTGCGCCTCGGCGTCGAAGTTGAACGTCACGGGGCGCACGTCCTCTTCTCTCAACGCGTCCAGCGTTTCGTCCAACGCGCGCACGTCGCGCTTGAACCGCTCGTCCGACGCGGACGTCGTGCTCCCAGTCGCGTATATGTCCCCGTTCACGTACAGTTTCTTCGACGTGTCCGCGTGCGCGCCCGCGACGGAGAGTAGGCCCTGAACCACCGTGTTCCCGCTCGCGGCGGTGATTTTAAACTTCTCCGAGCCGTCGGACGCTTTCACGGTGAAGTCGCCCTGCGCGCTCGTCGCGCCGGTGATGGTCGTCGCGCCCTGAGAAGACGACGCGGCGGTGATGCTTCCGGTCGCGTGCACGTCTCCGTTCACGTACAGTTTCTTCGACGTGTCCGCGTGCGCGCCCGCGACGGAGAGTAGGCCGTGAACCACCGTGTTCCCGCTCGCGCCGGCGACCGTCAGCACCGTCGCCGATCCGTCGGACTTCTTCACCGTGACGTCGCCCTTCATGACCGTCGCGCCCGTGATGGTCGTCGCCCCCGTGATGCCAGTCGCGCCATTGATGGTCGTCGCGCCCGCGGAGAGCGCCCCGGTCACGCTCGCGCTCGCGAGCGTCGCAGCGCCGGACACCAGAGTCCCGGTGACCGTGACCCCACCGCTGGCGAGCGCCACGAGGTTCGTCGCGCCGGAGACGCCGATGTTCGCGGCGGAGAACTGTACCGTCTCGACCTGGACGTACCCGTTAGTCGACGAGATGACCAGGGACGCGGGCGAAGCCGCCGTGTGCGTTATCGTCGTCGCCGCCTTCTCGAGCACGATGTTGTCCTTGAATGTGCTCTGCCCCGTGAACGTGGACGTCGTCTGGACCGCGAGCGTGCTCTGCGTGGACAGCGCCGCGGAGGATGAGAGCGTGCCCGTGACGTCGACGCCGGACGTAGACGTCGTCGATATCGTGCTCCCGCCGACGCTCACGGTCACGCCCTTGTCCGAGGACACCGCGAGATTTATGTTGCCGCTGGATGCGGTGTGGGTTAACGTGTCCGCCCCGGACAAAACCGCGGCGCGCGCGCCGCGGATAGAAGCGAGCGCTAGCGCGAGAAACAGGAGGACATGGTGCGCGCGGGGGGTCCGCGGCCCGCGCGGACGTGAGAGGTCGTGCGCTCGCGGCATCGTGCGTCGTGCGCGGCGACGCGATGCGGGCGGGCGCGAGCTTACGAATCAAACGTGTGTCCGAACGGGTCCTATAGACGGGCACCTGTTCGACGCGACCTTTGGGCACAGCAGGTCGTGTACGCAATTCGCACGTGTTTTCAGTGCGTTTTTAGTCAGGAGCGAAAGTGTACAGTACGCGGTCGCGTAACGCACTTTTCGTAGACATGCGGGAAGAAGGCCTGGGAAGGGGTTTGGAGGTGATGCGAAAGGAAAGTGCGAAGGGTTCAACCCTTGAACTACCGTCGACGCACGCTCATTCGCGGGCTTAAATAAGGTTAGGCTGAAACGGTACGCGTGAGGCAACACCAACTCTTGTCAATCAATAACAATCAATAACACGCACGCGTAAACTCAAACGTCGTCCGTCACCTAGGCTTCGACTTGCTCCCCTTCGCCGCGTCCGGGGACTCGTTCCTCGCGTACTTCTCCACGTCCGAGCTCACGCACGTCCCAACCTTATCCCCTCTCAGCGCCCGCGCGATGTTCCCCTCCTCCGCGAGGTTAAACACGACCACCGGGATGTCGTTCTCCTGACACAGCGTGATCGCCGTCAGGTCCATGACGCCCAAACCTAACCTCTGAACCGTCTCGTACGTCAACGACTCGTACAGCTTCGCGTCCGGACACTTCACCGGGTCGCGGTCGAACACGCCGTCCACCTTCGTCGCCTTCAGGACGCACTGCGCGTTGATCTCCGCGGCTCTCAGCGCCGCGCCGGTGTCCGTCGTGAAAAACGGATTCCCCGTGCCCGCGCCGAAGATGACCACCCGCCCCTTCTCCAGGTGTCGAATCGCGCGACGGCGGATGTACGGCTCCGCGACTTCGGACATCGCGAACGCGGTCATCACTCTCGTCGGGACGCCGTTGCTCTCCACCGCGGCCTGGAGGTTGATCGCGTTCATGACCGTCGCGAGCATCCCCATGTAGTCCGCGCTCGCGCGATCTAAGCCTTTGCCCTCGTGCTGCGCGCCGCGGAAGAAGTTCCCGCCGCCGACGACGACGGAGACCTGCACGCCGGAGAGCGACGCCTCCGCGACCTCGCGCGCGATGGTTTGAACCACGGCGGGGTCGATCCCGAACCCGGACTCCCCCGCGAGCGCTTCGCCGCTGACTTTCAACATGACGCGCTGCCACTTGTGCTTCGAGCGCCGCCCCTCGGGGCGGTCCAAGTCCACGTCCGCGTCGTCGCTCGACGCGAACACGCGCGCGCCGCGCGACGGTTTCGCGTCGCGTCGACGCGCGTGTGGGCGGTGCAGCGCCGCGGTCCCGCGCGCGCGGAACGACGTCGCGCGCGCCGGGGCGAGGCGCGCGGTTCGCGCGGACGCCGCGAGGGATGACGCGGCCATCGCTTTTTTCACGCTTTAATTTATCCCGGCGGCGGCCTCTTCCCCGCTCGCCTCTTTCGCTTCGCGCTCTCGGACGAAACCGACGGCGCGTCCCTCGACTTTGCGACAAACGAGGTCGCGCGCGCGTGCCCGTGCGCCGACGAAGTGCGCGGCGACGAGACGAGACGGCGCGGTTCTCCAAGCGGCGGCGGGCGTGGAAAACTATCTCAGCTCTCGCGGAAATTGGCTCGGTCTGCGTGGTATCGAAGTACATATTTTTTTGCTGAGAGCTCGCTTTGTATTCAAAGCACGGGTGCCAAGACGGCAGAAGCCGCGCCCGAGCGACGGCCGGCAGCACGCGAGGCGTCTCGTCGTCGTGTACCCGTGGAGAGAGTCCGTGTCGGGTCCCCGTTCGACGGCGCACGGCGCGCGGGTTCGCCTCGCGCGTCGCCTCGACGCGCGAGATCTGAGGCGACTCGTCACCGGCTGACTGGACGAGGAGACGCGAGGCGCGCCCAGGATAGGATGGACGTACCCGCGGGGGGGAAGCGCACGATGAGGAAGAAGCGCAAGGCTCTGGATGCGGGCATCCAGGCGCAGAAAGCGGAGACCGCCGCGCCGGGTTCCGCGGAGGTGCGTCTCGCGACGCGACGACGTTTTCCCTCCGACGCGCGCGTCGGTGCCTTTTCCTTTCCTCTCTTTTCAAACGCGGCCGACTTGGCCTCGAATCTCGCGGTCGCTCACGCCCTAAACCCGTTGCATTCACCCTCACAGCGCGCCGCGTCGAAATCGATCGAGGTCCAGCGCGAGGAGGAAGTCTGCGGGAACGTCGAGGACCAGAAACGCGCGCTCGCGAGGGCGATCGACGCCTTGAAAGAAAACAGCAAGTCGCACGTCGAGACCGTCGTGAACGCCGCGAAGGCGCTCCACGCGATGCGGCCGTTCATTCTCGACGGCAGACACGCGAAGCTCGAGGACGTGACGCTCTTGGAGACGTACAGCAAAGAAGCGGTCGAGATCCTGCGCAAGGCGGTGAAGAGCAAGAAGCTCACGAGCACGGAGGCGAACTTAGCCGCGGTGCCGCGCGTCGTCGACGCGCTCATCGTGCACCCGCTCGCGGATTTCCACTCGCAAGTTACGATCACGATCGGGGGCGGGGACCGTCTGTTCGTCGCGACGAACGCGTTCGCGCACGAGGTTGGGCGCCGCGCGTGCGAGGTCATCACGAAACTCGTGATCAAGTCCCCGGATTTGAAGAAGATCGCGAGGGACGGCGACGTCGTCCCGAGCATCCGCCAACTTATGCTGCAACACGCGCATCGAGAGCTGAAGATGCAGAAACACGCCGCGGCGGCGCTGATCACTCTGGACGAGCACGTGGCGCTCGTGGAGGCGGTCAGGAAGGCGACGGAAAGCATGCTCATAATCGCGGGTACGGAGGTGATCGTCATCGGGGACCGACGGACCACGGATCGCGTCGGGGAGCTGAGGGAGATGCTCAGAAGGGACGTGCACGCGCTCGGGGAGCTCGCGAAACTAAACTACGCCGGCGCCGTCATCGAAGCCGGCGCGATCGACGTCATCGTCCCGCTGCTGCGCCTGAGCGCGGACACGAGCGAGTCGACGACGTCGTCGAAATCGTCGTGGACTCCGACGCAGTTCGCGGACGTGGAGAAAGAGGTGTGCTACGCCATCGGAGCGATCGCGTCGGATCCGAAACATCAACGCATGGTCGTCGACGCCGGCGCGGTGGAGAGCTTAGTCAACCTCCTCGGACGCCAGGCGCCGCACGCGCCCGTGGACCCGGTGTCGAGGCGAGGGGCGGATCTCGTGCAGGACGTAGCGAGGAAAGCCGCGGACGTGATCTCGAAGCTCGCGAACAAGAACGAGGACGTGAAGAAGCTCGTGAGGCGTGTGCGCGGCGTGGAGGCGATGCGTATGCTCTTAGATCGCAGAGACAGCAAAGTGCAACGCGCGGGGGCGAACGCGCTCATCACGCTGGACCATCACTTTCGATTAGTGAAAGACATCTTGGACATCAGGATGAAGATCCTGGCGGACCCGGACGACGACCGGTTGAGGGACCGTCTGAAGCAAGACGTCCGAACGCTCGCGGAGCTGTCGAAGGAAACGCAGCAAAACTCGGACAGCAGCGAGAACGTCGACGCGGTCGTGAACGCGGGCGCGGTCGAGGCGATCGTCCCACTGTTATCGATGAGCACGGAGATTGGCGAGAAGTGCACGCCGAACATCGGGGACATCGAGAAAGAAGCGTGCTACGCGATCGGGCTGCTCGCGTCGAAGGAGGATAATCAGAACCGAATCGCCGCCGCGGGCGCGCTCCCGGGTTTAGTCGCGCTCCTGAAACGGTACCCGCCGCAGCTGTCCGGGTCTATCCCGCCGTCCGTCGCTCGACGCGCCGCGGACGCGGTCACGAACTTGGCGCACGAGAACAACGACATCAAGAACCAAGTCCGAACGGAGGGGGGCATCCCGCCGTTGGTGTCCCTGCTCGAGACGCGGGATCCGAAAGTGCAACGCGCGGCGGCGAGCGCGCTGCGGACGTTGGCGTTCAAAAACGACGAGAACAAAAACCAGATCGTCGAGTGCGGCGCGTTGCCGATGCTCATCTTCATGGTCAGAAGCGAAGACCAGACGATTCACTACGAAGCCATCGGCGTCATCGGGAACTTGGTGCACTCGTCGTCGCACATCAAACGCCGCGTCTTGGACGAAGGCGCGCTGCAGCCGGTGATTTCGTTGCTCTCGTCCGAGTGCCCGGAGAGCCAGCGCGAGGCGGCGCTTCTGATAGGACAGTTCGCGACGACGGAGCCGGCGTTCAAGGTCAAGATCGTCCAGCGCGGCGCGGTGCAGCCGCTGATTCAGATGCTGAACAACACGGACCCGCAGCTCAGGGAGATGGCCGCGTTCGCGCTCGGACGCCTCGCACAAAACGAGGACAACCAGGTCGGGATCTGCCACGCGGACGGCTTGCGACCGCTTCTCGATTTGCTCGACTCGAACGCGGGGAACTTGCAGCACAACGCTGCGTTCGCGCTGTACGGGCTCGCGGAGAACCCGGATAACATCCCGGACATCATCATGCAAGGCACGGTGCAGCGGTTGAACGACGGCGAGCTCATCGTGCAAGCGTCGAAGGACTGCGTCGCGAAGACGCTGAAGCGCTTGGAGGAGAAGATGACCGGGCGCACGCTGCGGTATTTGATTTACATGATGCGCACGACGGACAAGGAGCATTCGGCGCGCATCGCGGTCGCGCTCGCCCATCTGTGCGGCGGCGCGGATAAAGAGCAAGAGAAGGGGGGTCTCGAGACGCTCTCGGATATCTTCATGGATCACGGCGGCTTGGAGATTCTGCTCGAGATGATCGCCCCGAAGCACTCGTCGACGCTGCCCAGCCACCTGCGCCTCTCGCCGAAGCCGCGGGATCAGAAGGACGCCGCCGCGGCGCTGTATAAGATTGCCGAGAAGATCACGCGCCTCGCCCCGGAGGAAGCCGCGCCGCTTCCCGCGACGCCGGAGACGCACCTGGAGGAGCACTTCGATAACCCCGAGCTCGCGGACCTCGTGTTCGAAGTCAGCGGCGAAGAGATGGACGACGCGGACGCGACGGACGAGGAGCGCGCGGAGAAGCGAACCTTCTACGCGCATCGCATCGCGTTCTCGCGAGCGTCCGACGCGTTCCACGACATGATCGCTCAAGGGAAGCGTCAAGACGAGGCGACGACGACGGGATCGGACGCCGACGCGAAGCGCGAGGGCGCGTGCAGAGTAGACATCAAGCACATCACCGTGGAAGCCTTCGAGGCGTTGCTGAAGTACGTGTACACCGGGCAGATCCCCCCGTCCAACGATCCCGAGCTCGGCTTCGTCCCCAAGCTCGCGTGCACGATGCTGAAGCTCGGGGAGAAGTACCAGATGCTCGGGCTGAAACGGCAGTGCGAAACCGCGCTCGCGGAGGACGTGAAAAACGCGGGGGTGAGCTTCGACGCGGTGAAGCTCATCAAGTTTTACGACCTCGCGATCGACCACAGGGCGGATAAGCTCGCGCGCGCGTGCGTGTTACACGCGCTGGAGCACCACGCGTCGATCATCAAATCTATCGGGCCGGACTCGTACTCGAAGCTTCTTCAGTGCATGGTGCCGACGATTCGCGAGCACTTGCACGGTATTTTTTACCGCGTCGGCTCCGCGCTCGACGCCGCGAACGCGCGCTGAGCTCACGAACCCCGTCACGAGATGACGAGACGACGAAAGACAGAACGCATAGAAACGAATAGCCATAAGCTGGTGCTTCTAACGAACGTTAAGTACGATAAAACTACTGCACTACCGCTACGCCACCTTCGCGCGTTTCGAATCGGGACTCTCGTCATCCGCCGCGAACGCGACGTCCTCCATCAGCGTGAACGACAGACACAGCATGATCTTATTCGGAGCGACGTCCCGCACCTCGTGCACGCTCGCGTCTTTGATCGGTCCTCCTAAGTACCCCTCGCCGCGTTTCACGACGTCCGCGTGCGTCTCGTCCGCGCGCTTAAACGTGTACACGTGCACCCGAGGCAGGTTTCGTTCGCCCCAAACGCGTCTATCGAACGCGCCCTTGAAGACGTCCAAAAACTCGATCGCGCTCGCGGGGAGGTTCATCGTGACGTGGTCGAACACCGCCCCGGCGGGCGGGTCGCCGTCGTCGTCGTCGTCCCCGGTCGCCGCCCATCTCGCGACCGGCTTCTTTTCCTTCTCCTCCTTCTTCCCGTCGTCCGCCGGCTTCCGCGCGTCTTCCTCCGGCGGCGGCCCCGGTCCGTACTTCAGCAGCGCGCGAATGAACGCCCGCGCGCACATGTTATAACACTTCACGCGCCCCTTCACCTTCGCCGCGCGTGCGTTTATCTTCATGTACTCGTAACACTTCGGGTTCAGATCGTTCGCGTACGTCCTGATCCCCGCCCTCCCCGCGGGCACGGCGAACGGCCCCACGCCCGCCATCGCGTCGCATAAAATCTCCCCCGGTCTGATGCTCTCCACCATCCGCTTGTGCTCCGCCTCCAGACGGCTGTTCCAGTACACCTCTCCGAAGTCGAGCTTGAACGGGACGCCGTGCTGCTTGACCTCCGTGACCAACGACGGCGACCCGGCGAGGAGCTCCCAGGTCGGGACCCTAAACTCGGACTCGATCGCGCCGACTTTGTTCACGATCGTCCTCAGCCTCGGGTTCTTGTCCAGGAGCACCCTCCCGATGACGTGCTTGTACTGCATCACGTCGTCCCTCAGGTTCAGATGCGCGATGTGTCCGACGGTCTCGAACGACCCGGGGACCTCGACGCCGTCGGGAAGCAGCGCGCGCAGGACGTGCTCGGCGTTGTAGTAATCGTACCCCAACCTGAGCTCGTGCGTCGTCAACGGGAGGTCGTCGAGCGCGAGCTCTGCTCTGAGTTCGGGCGATATCGACGGGAACGACGCGTCCTTGACCTCTTCTTTGAGCAGCAACAGGCGCGAGTTCGCCTCGTCCGTCGGGTCGTTCACCACGGAGCGCTGCCGCGGCATGTCGAGGACGAAGTCTTTCAGGTGCTTCATGAGCGCGTGACATCGCGTCTTGGGCACGCGCAGCGCCGTGAGCGTGATGCGAGTGTCGAACTTCGATTTGTCTATCGTCGCCTCCGGCGCGGGCGTCAGCCTCGTGAACTCCTCCGCCATCGTCGCCGTGCGCGCCTCCGACGCGCGGCGGGGAAGTGAGCTATCGTGGTTCGGTGGAGATCCGTCATCATAGCAATTTCTTCCCGAAACTGACGAGCGCGCGACAAACGAAACGAACGCCCGCTCTTCTCCGCGCGGGCGGGACGGGGTGGGCGAACGACACGAGAAGCCACCCGCGATGCAACGACGGTGCGTTCATCTAATAAAAGCCCGTCTATCTAATCCTCCGCCGCCTGGCGAACGAATGTACATCTCAACGAATCGAATCGCTCTGGCGCGTCGCGCGGCGCGGCTTCCCCGCCGCTGCCGCGCGCTCGTCGCCGCGCCCCCCCTCCAAACCAACCCCCACCACACCGCGATGACGTTTAATCCATGATGAGGGACTTCTTCAGAAGCCTCCCGACGGTCTCCGACGGCTGCGCGCCCTTAGACAGCCACGCCTTGATCGCCGGCGCGTTCAGGTTGCTCTGTTTTCTTATGGGGTCGTACCACCCGAGCTCCTCGAGAGGCGCGCCGTCTCTGCGCTTGCGGCTGTCGATCGCGATGATGCGGTAGAACGGCGTGCGCTTGCGGCCGAGGCGCGTGAAGCGAATCTGCGGGGCGGGGGCGAAGCGAGGAAGAGGACGTCGGCGTCGGGTCGAGGGAGGAGGCGCTGGGCGTGTGAAAACCTGAAAGTAGGGTTTCTAGCGTCGCGTCGAGGCGACGCGGCGACGGAGACGCGGGACGCGGCGCGACGCGCACCTTCACCATCGCTTCGGTCTTGAGCGCGGGCCTCGGGACGACGACGTTGCTAGAGGGCGCCTGTTACACGAGGAGGGAGTCGGACGTCAGATGCCGTTCGCGGCGCGCATCCCGCGACGTCGAGGCCGGGAAAGTGGATAAATGTGAAGCGGAGCGAGGAATCGCGCGGATTGCGGTCCGGAGACGCGACGCGAGGAAGGCGCGAGCACGCACCGCGGTGACGCGGAGACCCTGCGTGGACGCGACGTTGCGGCCGAAGCTCAGGGAAGCGGAAGTGGCGGACATAGCGAAGGCCATCTCGCCTGCGCGCTGCGTTGTGGCCCGTCTCTCCGCAGCGCGGTTCCCGTCTCGACACGGAGCTGAAAGTCGTCGTCGAGGATGTCGATCCCCTTAACCGCTCAACGCTCGACGTCGTGTCGAGGCCGTCGCCGATACCAGCGAAATTTGGTCGCGGACAGAAAGTCGCCCGTTTGAAAAGCTATTTCCTTCGTCAACGTCCTCGCACACGCCTCGCGCGCGGGGTCCCAGCGTCCGGCCGCGATGTCGTCCAAGCCGCCCGCGGAGTCGCCCGCGTCGCCATGGAAAGCCGCGGAGAAGAAGCAGGCGGACGAGAAAGCCGCGGCGGAGGAGTACGCCGAGGCCGCGCGAGTCGCCAGGGAGGAGCACATCGCCGCGTGTAAGATTCAAGCGCAGTTCAAGGGGCACTTCGTCAGAAGGGAGGTCGCGCTGAAGAAGAAGCGCGCGGCCGAGCACGCGGCGTACGAGAAGGGGTACAAAGAGCGCGAGGCGAGGATGGCGGCGAGGGAGGAGACGAAGGCGATGCTGAGAGAGCTCCCCGCCGCGGAGGTTGAGGATTGGCTCCGGCAGCAAGAGATCTCGAGCGCGGTGACTGTGCAGAAAGAGTGGCGCCGGCACAAGGCGAAGAAGCACGTCGAGCTCGAACGGAGGGAGCAAAACACCGCGGCGATCCGAATCCAAAAGAGCTTCAAGAAACACAAGAACGAGGTCGAGTCCGGGGCGAAGCGAAGCAACGTCTCGAAGGCGAGGGTGAACAAATTCATCGTCGAGCCGGACGCGTTGGACGTCGTCGCGTCCGTCGCCGCGGAGATGACGACCGAGGACTACGCCCCGCGGGTGATGACCTTAAAGCAGCAGTCCGTGGAGGCGGTCATGGCGACGCGGAAGTTTGAGGCGGCGAGGGACGTCGCGGCGACGACGGCGGCGTCCGACGGCGTCACGATGGAGACGTTTCGCGCCGGCCGCGAGAAGACCCGGACGACGCTCGCGCGTTACCGCGAACAGACCGACGCGAGGGCGGAGGCGAAGGCGAAGCGAGACGCGATCTTCCGCGAGACGGAGAAGGTGTTCCGAGCGCAGCGCGCGCAGAAGCACCAGTCCCTCGCGGAGCTGAGCGGGTTCGCAACGCCGGCGTCGTTTGCTTTCCCGGCGGGGACGGATGAAAAGTCCATCGCGTTGAGGCATAAAGAAGCGCTCGACGCCGCGGACTGCGAGAGGAAGTGGTGGAAGCCGCTGCTGTCGCTGAACCGCGAGCAGAGGGTGCTGGACAAGCAAGAGGAGGAACGGAGACGGAAAGTCGGAGAGACGGGCGCGAGCGGCGGCGGCGGAAGCTCTCCGGGGAGCGGCGGCTCAGGCTACGCTAACAACCGCACGAGGGCGGGCGTGAGGGACTCCGTCACGACCGCGACCGCGACGGAGGTGTATTAGGGTCGCGCGGCGTAGGGCGGCGTCGCGACGATGTGGTAGATGCGCCGTTGTATCATCGAAGGTGCGCGCGCGCGCGAAAAGCTCGCAAGAACTACGAGTACTGAGGGCCATTTCCACAAAAAAAGTGCATCGGCGGTCAGTTGAAAGGGGACGCGATCAAATGTTGAAACCGAGCGGTGGGTGAAAAACGTCTGTTTAGAACGCACCTGACCGATCAAGCGCCTGTGGCAGATGACGTCGCCAGGTGGCAGCCGAGTGGTGGCGCATATTCGTCGCCAGTAGTCGTCCTCGGACCGTCGTCCGACGTCGCGCGCGGTCCACTTCGCCCCGCGCGACCGAACACGATGGCCGCCGCCGTCGCGGTGAGCTCGACGACCGCGCTCCGCCCCCGCGCGTCGCCCTCCGGCCGTCTCGCGACGCGCCGCGCGACGATCGCGAGCGCGTCGTCCGGCGAGGCGTCTCGTCGCTCTTCTATCCGTCGTCGCGCCGACGACGCCGACGAACCCGATGACGCGGCCGACGCGACGGCGTCCGGGCCGCCCGCGAGCGCGCCGACTCGCCGCGCGATGCTCACCTCCGCGGCCGCCGCGGCGTCGGCGATGATGCCGTTCGCGAGAGACGTCGCCGCGATCGCCGCCGGGGAGCCGCCGATGTACCCGGACGTCGTCACCATGCAAGAGGCGTTCTGGGAGAAGACGTCCAAGGCGGCTCACCCGGAGCGGTGGTACCCGTACTGGTGGGCGCTGCCTCTCGCGCCGTACGGAGGCAAGGCGACCGCGATGAGCGTCGCGCATCCCAACGAGGTGTGGTGCTTCGACCAGCTCCAGGGCTTGCTCGACGTCCTCGTGAACGTGCGCATGACCGTCGTGAGATTAAACGGAGGCGGTCTGTGGGTGCACAACCCGATCGCGCCGACCGCGGAGCTCATGTCCATGCTCGCGCCGATCGTGGACGAGCACGGGCCGGTGAAGCACATCGTCGTCGGCAGCGCCGCGATCGAGCACAAGATTTACTCCGGCCCGTTCAGTAAGAAATTCCCGAGCGCCGACGTCTGGATCCCGCCCAAGAATTGGACGTTTCCGGTGGACGTGCCCATCGACGCCTACGTGCCGTATTACCCGAGAGGGTCGCCGAAGACGCTGCCCGAGGACAGCGCGAGCGGCGTCGGGAGCGTGCCGTGGGGCGATCAGATCGAGCACAGCGTCATCGAGGTGGGCGGGAGCAGCCTGCGGAACTTCAAAGATCCGTGGTTCGTCGACACGGCGTTTTATTTAAAAAAGACGAAAACGCTCTTGATCACGGACGTCGTCATGAAAGTGAACCCGGACCCCGTGCCGGTGGCGACGATCAACCCGGAGCCGCTGCTCGTGCGCGGGATGGAAGGTCCGGACAAGATGCTGCCGAACACGCGAGAGGCGCGGAGCATGGGGTGGGGGAAGACGATCTTGTTCGGGCTGCTGTTCCAACCTGCGAGCGTGGACGTCAAGGTGTCGCCGGCGAGCGTGAACAAAGACCTGCTGGATAACTTCACGTGGGACGAGCGGTGGAAAGCGTCGTTTCAGAACTTGGTCGACAAGGACATCTTCGTGCCGCCGATTCTGCACGTGCTCGCGTTCCCGCGAAGGAGGGACGAGGTCAAGCGGTGGGCGGAGGGCGTCGCGGCGTGGGACTTTAACACGATCATCCCGTCGCACCTGGACGGGCCCATCGACGCGGGGCCGAAGGAGTTCGCCGCCGCGATCGACGCCGCGCTGACGACGGACCCGAGAGCGTTCTTCGGCGAGGACATCGAACCTCTGCTCGCGGTGGACAAGTTATCCCGGGATCTGAAGTCGTTAGAGGAACCGCGGCCGCTGACGGACGCGACGCCGATCAAATATTTCGTGAAGCCGGCGCCCGCGCCCGCGGAGGAGGCGAGCGCCGTCGAGGTCGCGTAGAGAGACGAGCGAGGCGAGGTGAGGGTGGTGGTGTGAAACGTCGTTTGTTCAGCCGTTACGTGTTACATCGTGTCGCTCTCGTCGTGTCTCGCACGTTCCGTCGCCGGCGCGTCGCGTCGTCGTCTCGCGGTACCGTTTCCGTTTCCGTTCAAAATAGTGCACGCTCAGAAGCTCTCGTCCGCGAGCGTCGCGCGCTGCCCCTCGGAGTACACGTCGCTGACCGCGCGGAGCCCGACCGCGTCCGCGAGGTTGAAGAGCTCTTCTTTCAGCGCCGCGGCGTCCTTGGCGTGCTCGCGCTCGGTACCCGCGATCGTCTCTTTCAAGACGTCCAGGAGCGACTCGCTCCGCGCGGTGAGGTCGGCGACGACCGAGCGCGCGGGGCCGAGGAGGACTTTCTTGCAGTGCGCGATCGCGCCCGCGGCTTGATCGCGCGCGTCGGTCGCGGCCTCCTCCGCGTCCTCGGCGACGACGTTCATGCTCAGAGCCGCGCGCTCCACGGTCGCGTCCGCGCGCGCGTCGAGCTGCCTCAGGACGTCCTTTATCGACTTTTCGCCCGTGGGGGCGTCGCCGTCGCCGTCGTGGACGTCGCCGAAGCTGAGGTCTTGCTCCGAGGACGGCGACGGCGGGGAGACGTCGCGGCGCTTCGCCGCGCGCGTCGCGCGCTTCGTCATGTAGCCCTGCTTTAACGGCACGTGCGGTGCGCGGGTCGCGCGGGGGGGTATGGAAACTTCGCGTTCCTTCTCGTGCGACGCGAAGCTTGAGATCTGGGACGGGGCGTTTAGGGTTGGCGCTCGTCCTCGTCGCCGCCGCCGCTCTCGCGCACTCCACCCCGCGCGCGATGGTGATCGACCGCCGCGCGCTCGGCGTCGCGTCCGCGACGGGCCTCGAGAGCCTCGCGGCGCTCGCCGAAGAGTCCTCGGCGCGCGGCGGCGACGAAGCGAAGGCGGAGTCGACGACGGCGGCGGACGCGACGTTTCCGCAAGCTGGCGTGCCTCTCTCGCTCTCCCCGGCGCACTGGCTCGCGGACGTCTTCACGAGTGCGCGCGCGCGCGCCTCGCCTCCATCTTCCCGCGCGCCGCGCCCTCCCCTCGTCCTCCGCGCGCGCCGCGTCTCGCGCTGTGACGAATGACGTCCCCGGTCCGGTCCCCTCCCCTCCCCTCCCCTCCCCTCCCTCCCTCGAACGCTCTCTTCTTCGCGGCAGTCGACGACAGCGACGTCCTCCTCGGTTCGTTCACGTGCGCGGTGCTCTCCGGCGTGATCGTCCAGGGGAAGATGTACGTCGTCCGCGGCGTCACCGGCGCGCGAGTGCTCTTCCACTCGAACATCATGACGATCGTCACCACGCGCGAGCTTCGCATGCGCGACGTCGAGAGCGTGGAGAAGATACAACGCGTCGGCGTCCTCGCGGCGATCGAGATAAAGGCCAGAGACGGCTCGAGGGAGACGTTCTGCTCGTTCCTGTTCAAAGAGAACGCGTACCGGTGTCTGAAGCAGGCGATGATCGAGGACGGCGGCGGCGCCAGGGTCGTCGACCGCGTCGCGACGGCGACGGCGACGGCGACGGCGACGGAGGCGGAAATTTCGGCGGCGGCCGAGGAGGCGTCGTCGTCGACGCCGCCGCCGCTTCTGACGCGTCGAAACAGCGCCCCTCAACTCTTCGGGGAAGAGGGTCGGCCACCTTCCTCCGTCGCCTTGAGAGACGGCGGCGGCGAGCGCGTGTACGCGAAGACGTTCCCGAGGACGAGCGCGAGCGCGCTGTTTCACGCGATGTTCGACGAGCGCGAAGCGACGTTCGCGAAACACCTGAGAACCAATTGCGGCGCCGTGAACGTGTCGTCGTCGCCGTTGATCGACATTCCGACGCGGCGTCCGCGCGCGCGCGCGAGCGAGCGCGTGATGACGTACAACGTCACGTTCCCCGCGTCGTGCGTCGTCACGGACACGCAGAGGTACGACGAGGAGCGCGACGGCGACGGCCGCGCGTTCGTCATGCGGTCGATCGCCGCGACGCGGGGCGTGCCGTACGCCGACGCGTTCATCGTCGAGACGCGCGTCATCGTCTCGGACACCGCGGCGAACGAACGCGACGACGAGGACGACGAGGAGGACGACGGGGACGTGAACGGTGGTGGCCGCGGCTGCGACGTCGACGTGCGATGCGACGTCGAGTGGAGGAAGAGCGCGAACGCGGTCGTGAAGTCGCTCGTGGAAGGGAACGCGAGGGAACGGGTGAAGAAGAGCTTCCGAGCGTTCTTAGAGCAGGTCGAGGTCGACGCGGGGAGAGAGACGGGCGTCGTGGACCGAGGCCGAGGGAGCGTCTGGAGCCCGCGGCGGAATCGCCGGTCGCCGTCGCTCGGTTCCGTGAGGTTCGATCCGTCGCGGCCGCCGCCGCGCGCGGCGCCGCCGAGGGTCGCGTCCGCGCCCGGGACGGCGGCGGCGTCCACTCCACCTCGCAGCGACGAGTCCGCGACGATCCCGACGACGTGGTGGTCGCGGTGGCGGCGTGCGCGCGAACGCGAACGCGAACGCGTGGGGTCCGGGTCGCTCGCGCCGGTGGCGGCGGCGGCGTGCTTCGCGCTCGCGTTGACGCTCGCGCCGCTGTCGCTCTACCGCGCCGTCTTCGCGCTCGTTTTCGTCGTCGTCCTCGCGGCGAAGAGCGTGCGGGGCGCGGGCGGCGGCGCCGTCGGCGACCGCGACCGCGCCGCGCCCGGGTTCCTCGAGAGCGCCGTCGCGTCGGCGAGCGACGCGGACGCGCCGGCGACGCGACGTGCGGTGCGCGACGCGTTGCGGCGCGCGGCGAAAGACGACGCGCTTCTCGACGCGCTGTGCGAGGAGCTGAACCGCACGAGCGCGGAGCAGACGAGACGATGATTGATTTTGGTGATTGATTTTTGATATTCGAACGAGTCCTGCGCGAGTCGCGGGTGGCGGCTGGCTAGCGTTTCCCCTTCTTCGACATCATGAACTCCACCTTGGCGTTGCCGGATATTTTCGGCAGCGCGGCGACGGCGGCGCCTCCGAGCGCGGGGGCGCCGCCGATTCCGCCCGCATCGGCGCCGTCGCCGGCGCCGTCGCCGTCGCCGTCGTCCTCCAACCCCGCGGTCGCGTACCGACTCACCGCGTCGGAGGACTGCCCCGCGTGGATCTTCCCGGACAGAACCACGTACGGGCTCGCCTGAATCTTCTGCACGTGTTTCATCTTGTCGATCGACCCGAGCGGCGTGTCCCCTTCCCTCGTCTTCTTCGCCTTGACCTCGTCTTGGTACGCCTTCAGTCGCTTCTCTTTTTTCGCCTTTCCGGGCTCGATGCCGTGGAACCGGTGACACAGCTCCCGGAACGCCTCCTTCGGGGTCATCTTCCTTCCGAACTCGTCGAACTTATCGAGGTGAAATTCAAACTTGTGCCCGTCGAATTCGCCCGAGGAAATCGCCGCCGCCTCCCTCGAGCGCTGCAACGCGAGCGGCTTCTTATCGTTCGTGCGGCCGTCCCACATCTCCGTCTCGTTGAGTTTTCCCGCCTGTCTCATCATCTCCAGCGTCGCGGCGATGCCGCCTCGCGTCGCGGTGCTGCCCACGTCGCTGATGGCGCCGAGGTTGCTCGCGCGCGCTTCCGTCGCTTCCGTCTCCGCGTCGTCCGAGGGCGGCGGCGGCGGCGGCGGTGGCGGCGGCGGCGGCATCCCGTCGTGGTCCATGTCGTCGTCCCCTCCCGCTCCCGCTCCGGGCGGCGGCGGCGGCGGCGGCACCGGGGGCATGTCTCCCTCGTCCATCGCCGCGCTGGGCGCCGCCGCGGGCTGCTCCTTCGCCGTCTGCTTCCTGACTTCCACGCCGATGCCGTGCACGAACTCTTGCGTGTCGCTGAAGACGACGTCCCTCCCTGCGGCGCCGCCGTCGCCGTCGCCGTCGCCGGGGGCGTCCATCGCGCGCCTCGCCGCGGCTTCTCTGACAACCTCCTCGCGCGCTTTCGACGCGTCCTTCGCCGCGGCGACTCTCCGGCTGCGCGCGAGCGCGCGCGCGAGCTCTTCGTCCTCCGCGTCGTCCTCGCCCGCGTCCCCGGCCATCTCGGCTAAGATTTTTTCATCCGTCTTGAGCTTCGCCTTGGTCATCGCGGCTTCGAACCGCATGTCCTTCTCCTTGCGCTCCGCCTCCGCCTGCGCCTTCATCTCCTCGCCGCGTTTCTTCCTGTTCCCGAGCTCGCTCGTCCCGGCCGCGATCGCCTGCGCTTCTAAGATCTTCACGAAATCCTCCTCGGGCTCTTCTTCTCTCTTCTCTCTGAGTTTCTTCCTGCGTTTCTTTTTAGGCTTGTTAAACTTCGCCGCCGCCTGCGCTTCAACCTCCGCGGCGGTCATGAAATCCTTCCCCCGCGTCTTCTCGAACGTCGCCGTCTCCTCCGTCGCGTTCACCGACACGCCCCCCAAACTCGCGGCGAGCTTCCTCTTGATCTCCTCCTTACGTCGCAGCTCCGCGGCGGCCACCGCGCCGCCGTCGTCCAACGTCAACCCCTCCGCCTCCGTCGTCTCGTCGTACTTCCCGAGCACGGTCTTTCCGTTCGCGTCGTTCGCGTCGTCCTCCTCCCCGAACGGGTTCTTCGGCGTCTTCTTAGACGCCGCCTTGCTCTTCTCTCTGCGCTTGTTCTCCGCGAGCAGCACGTTCTCGAGCTCGTCCGTCTCGTCGTTGATCGCCGAGCGTCTCTCGTCCAAGATGGACGCGTCCTTCAACGTCATCACCACCGTCTCTCCCTCGCGCACCTCGTCCACGCCGTGGCCAACCTTCATCCCGGCGAGGTCCTTCGCGGTGTACGCGGAGGACTTCGATTTGTTCGCGCCGAAGGAATTGGGTCCGTCTTCTCCGAGATCTTCGTCGTCCTCGAGGTCCTCCGCGTCGTCGTCTTGCTCGGCGAGTTTCTTCGCGAGCGCCTCCGCCTTGGCGCGATCTTCCGCGCGCTTCTTCTCCTCGATCGCGCGCGACTTGTTCACCCAGCTCGCGAGGTCGTCGTCCTCCTCGTCTGGTGCGTCGCCGAGCTGCTTCGTCGCCTTGTTGCGCTGGTCCATGAGTCGTCGCTCTTTCGCGGTCGCGATCCGCTCGCGCACCGCCTCCGTCTCCTTCTCCGCCTCTCGCTCGCGTCGGATCTGGAGCGCGGCCTCCTCGTCGTCGCGGCGGGCTCTCTCGCGGTCGCTGACGCCCTCGCGGAGGGGTTTCAAGCCGAGCTTCTCGCGGACTCTGCGTCGTTCGTCGAGGTGGGGGTGGGTGGGGGTGGGGGGGGGTCGGTCAGAGGGCGTCGTTCGTCGTTCGTCGTCGCGCGAGGATCGGCGTCGAGGGGAGGGGCGGCGGGGCGTCGCCGTCGCGCGCCTGTTCGTCTCTTCGAGGGACATCGCGACCTCCCCGCCCGCGTCCGTCGTGTGGACGTTGAGGTCATCGGGGAAGTCCTCCATCTTGGTCGGGGCCTCGCCGTCCTCGTGCATCTCCTCGTCGCCCATCGCGCGGCGCGTCGATCAGTGCTCCTTCTGTTCGAACGAGCGCGAGCGCCCCTCAAAAAAGCAACGACGGCGATTGAATTGAGTCACGTCATCGTCACTCCCCCCGCGCGCGCCGTCGTCGGCGCCGCGGGGGATGGTACTAAACACGGACGCCGCGCGCGGCGGCGGCGGCACGGCGTCGTCGTCGTCGTCGTCTCCCGCGTCGTCCACCTCCTCCTCTCCGCTCCTGTGCGACTTCGGTCTCTACGAGACGCGCGAGCGCATGCTCCTCGTGGGACGCACGCGAGACAAGGCGCGATGGCGCGTCGCGCGCATCGCGCGCGAGGAGACTTCGAACGGCGCGCTCGACGCGCGCGAGGACGACGTCGAGTACACGGAGGGTCAGTGCGCGAAGCTCTTGAGGGCGATCGAGGACGCGAACGCGACGACCGGGGGCTGCCGACTCGTCGCGCGCGGATGCGCGGTCCTCGGCACCATCCGATTCTTAAACGCGCACTACCTCGTCGTCGTCACGAAACGCGTCGCCCTCGGGCGCGTGTGCGGGCACGCCGTGCACAAGATCGCGGAGACGAAGCTCGTGCGGCTCGCGAACGCGACGGAGACGGCGCGCGCGTACCCGCTCTCGACGCAAGGCGCGCAAGACGCGGAGGAGCGACGACGACGACGCATGCTCGCGTGGGTGGACCTCTCCGACGGATTTTTCTTTTCGTACACGTACCCGCTGACGTCTACCGTCCAGACGAACCTGTGCGGCGACGGGGGCGCGCGCCGCCGCCGCCGCGAGGGCGACGCGAACGACGAGGCGGGCGTTAAAGACTTCGACGGGATGTTCTCGTGGAACGCGTTCATATCCCAGCCGTTACGAAAGGCGTTAGGCGACGCCGCCGCGCGGAAGTGGCTGACCCCGATCGTCCACGGGCACTTCGAGCAACGCCGGCTGTCGCTGCTCGGTCGTCCGGTGTCGGTGACGCTGATCGCGCGTCGGTCGCGGCACTTCGCGGGGACGCGATACAACCGACGCGGCGTGGACAAGCGCGGCGACGTCGCGAACGAGGTGGAGACGGAGCAGATCGTCGACGCGGGGGACGACGTCCTTCGCGAGGGCGCGTCTGAGGCTAATTGCCCATACGAAGCGGGCTCGCGCTCGCGCTCGCGCTCGCTCCGCTCGCTCCCTTCGCTCTCCTCCGCGACGCAACTCCGCGGAAGCATCCCGCTCTTCTGGACGCAGGAGGCGTCCGCGCTCACGACGCGACCGGAGATCGTGACGCGGCCCAACCTGGACCCGTTGCACGACGCCACGGCGGCGCACGCGCGCAAGGTGCGGAAGCGATACGGCGGCGGGCCGGTGGTGATGCTGTCGCTCGTGCGGTCGCGCGAGCGCAGACCGCGCGAGAGCGTGCTGAGCAGAGAGCTCGACGCCGCGTTGGAGCGGGTGAACAGCCTGGACGACGCGGGGGAACGCGTCGCGTGCGTGCGATGGGATTTTAAGCACCACATGCGCGTCGCGGCGAGGAGGACGACGACGCGGACGACGAGCGCGAGCGCGAGCGGCGGCGGTGGCGGCGGGGACGCGGACGGAGAGGAGAAGGAAAACGACGACGAAAACGACGAGAGCGAGAGCGACTTGGACGCCGCGTCGAATCCGACGCGTCGTTCTTCCCCGGAGAAGGAGAAGGAGAAGGCCGCGCCGCCGGTCCCGGTCCCGGCCCCCGTCGCGGTCCCGGCCGTCGTCCCGGGTCTCACGCGGCTGACGCACGTCGCCGAGGGCGCCATCGCGCTCACGGGCGTCTTCGCGCTCGCGCCGCTCGCGCCGCTCGCGGCCGCGTGCGCCGCCCAGCGCGAGGCGTCCGCCAAGGCGGGCGGCGTCGTCGCGCGCGCGTCGAAGTGTTTCGAGAAGGGCGGCAGCGACCTCGTCACCGGGCTCTTCCCGGACGTCCGTCGCGTCGGCGGCGGCGACCCGGACGCGCGCGCGCCGTACGCGGGGAGCTCCGCGGACCCGTGGCGGTGGTCCTATGAGCATTTAGTCTCCGCCGGGCGCGGTGGGACCGCGCCCCGCGACGACGACGGCGGCGACGGCGACGGCGGCGGCGGCGGCGACGCGCGGCGACGCGTCGGCGTCGTCGTCCAGCGAGGCGTCCTTCGCTCGCACTGCATCGACTGCCTCGACCGAACCAACGTCGCGCAATTCGCGTGGGGTCTCGCGGCGTTGGGCGCGCAGCTCCACGCGCTCGGCGTGCTAGACCACCCGCGCGTGCCGCTGACCGCGTCGCTCGCGAAGACGCTGATGCAGATGTACAGAGCCATGGGGAACACGCTCGCGTGGCAGTACGGCGGGAGCGATGCGCACGAGAGCGAGGCGGGCGCGGACGGTCGCGTCGGTCCCGGCGGGTCCCGGCGCGGGTTCTTCGCGGGCGTCGCGGGGGAGGCGTCGAAACTCGTCGTCTCCGCGCGGCGGTTCATAAGCAACGCGTACACGGACGCGGAGAAGCAGGAGGGGATCGACATGTTTTTGGGCGTCGTCCGCGGGGGGGTCAACGGCCACGGCGCTTTTGGGAGTCGCGGCGTCGTCGCGCGGGACCGCGACGACGACGACGACGACGACGACGACGACGACGACGACGAGAGGTTTTCTTCGTCGGCGCCGCCGCCGACGCGCGCGCTGCGCTGGGATATCCTCGAAGGCGACGCCGGGATTTTTACCGGGTCGTCGAACTTCGCGGAGCCGTCGCCGTCGAGGCTCGTGTCGTTCGACGCGTCCGAGAAGGCGACGCCCGTGAGGCTGCGCGCGCGAGAGACGCCGCCTGAGGCGATCACCGCCGCCTCGGAGCGCGAGGTCGAGGTCGAGGCGGACGTCGACGTCGACGTCGCGGCGGGGGGTGGTTTAGGGTTCAGAGGACGTAGGGTTCGGGAGGACGACCGCGCGCGACGCGTCCACGTCCACGTCGTCGACGCGGCGTCCATGGCGACGTACGAGTCCTACGTCTCCGGGGAGATCGAGCCGGCGTCGAGCGAGGACGCGGCGGCGTTCGCGCGATCGGCGGCGGCGGCGGCGGCGCGCGCGGGGCGCTCGTCGGGCGCCGGCGCCGTCGACGCGCGCGCGGACGGCGGCGACGCGGAGGCGGACGCGGTCGCGGCGGACGCGGTCGCGGAGGAGGAGCGCGAGGATATGACGCGCGCGTTCTGCGATACCGCGCGAGTGGGCGGGGACCCGGACGCGGCGAGAGAGATGGCCGCGCTGAGCGTAGTGTGGTAGCGTTGTACTTCCGTACTTCCTAGCTAGGGCTATTCGATTCTTCTTCTTCCCCTTCTTCTTTCCCTTCTTCTTTCCCACCCCCGTCCGCCGCCTTCTCCATGCGCTCGCGCTCCTTCTCCGTCCTCAGCGCGTTGTTCAGGAACCGCTCCACGCGCTTGTCGCACGAGAGCAGCTCCCACACGTCCCTCGCGAGTCCTCTCACCTCCACCTTCTCGCTCGTCGTCGCCGCGTGTATCGCGGTCGGCGCGAGCGGCACTCGGACGAGCTCCTCGTGCTTCTCAGGCGTCGCGGCCAAGACGCCCAGCGCTAGCAGAGCGTGCATCCGCACGCGGTCGTTCGGGGCGGCGACTAACGCCCTCGCGAAGACCGTTACCCCCGCGGCGGCGTGAAACGTCCGCTGAAACAAAAGCGGCTCCGTCCGACACGCCGCCAAAGAGGACGCGACGTCGCACGACAACTCCGCGACCCTCACCGGGCACGACGGCGACTTCGGCGCGTACTCCACGTCCCCGTGCACGCATCGAGGGAGCAAAAACCTTAGGAGGTCGTCCCTGGTGTCGTCCTCGATCATGCTCCGCGCGTGCGCGTCGTCCGCGGCGAGCGCGCGGAGACACTCCAACGCGACGACGTCGAGGCCGCTCCCGAGGCGCGCGCGCGGGAGCAGCGTCCGCACGAGCGGCGGTTGAATCAGGGCGTTGTTCGTCTCCTCGCGCATCTTCTCCGTCTCCATCTCCGCCTCGTCCCGCGCCGCGCGCAGGAGCCTCCCGGTGACGCCCATGTCTATCATCCGCCGCGCGACGCCCTCGACGCACCCCATCAAACACACGAGAGTCACGATCGCCTTCGCGCGGACGTGCACGTCGAACCCCTCGTCGTCGCACCGAAACGAGCCGTCGTCGCGGCGCGCGAGGACGTCCAGCAGCGGCCCGACCGCGTCCAAGAACGTGTGCGGGACGATGATCTTATTCGCGACGCCGACGAAGTCGACGCACGACGTCGACACGACCTCCGCGTCGTCGCTTCGCAGCGAATGCACGAACTTCCCCGCGGTGAACGGGAACGAGCCGACGTGCAGCGCGGGCTCGGCGTCCGCGATGGGGGGGATCAGCGACGCGAGCACCATCGGGTTCCGCGGGCCCGGGGGGCGGTAGTGCGGCATCGCGCGGACTCGCGTCGTTCGAGGCCAGCGCGCGCGGTTTGAAATGAAATCTGACGAGCTGACGATGACGCGCGAGCAGACGAGATGAAATGAACGCAAATCACTTCATCAGTTCGACCCGCGCGTCCGTCAGCGCCTCCGCGGCGGCCCCTCCCTCGGCGGGCATGGCGTCCACCCTCCCCGGCGCCGCCGCCGGTGGCGGCGACAGCCTGTACGACGCCCTCGGCGTGTCCCCGACCGCGACCGCGGAGGAGATCCGTAAGACGTACCGCAAGCTCGTCCTCAAATGCCACCCCGACAAGATCCGCGACGAGCGCGAGAAGCCCGCGGCGGAGAAGCGGTACCACGCGATCGTGACCGCGTACGAGGTGCTGTCCGACCAAGTGAAACGCTCCGAGTACGACAAGCGATCGCGGCTGAACGGCGCGGCCGGGGACGACGTCCTCGTGAACGTCACGCTGAAGGAAGCGCTGACCGGCGCGACGAAGCTCGCGATGGTGCCGCGCAGAAAAAAGTGCCCCTGGTGCGCGGGCGTCGGGCTGAAGTGCGAGCCGTGCGACGCGTGCGACGGCAAGCGCGTCGTCGCCTCGGGCGCGCCGTGCGCCAAGTGCGACGGCCGCGGCTTCGGCGCGCCGGTGACGTGCGCGAACTGCAAAGCCCTCGGCGCGACGGAGGACTTTTTCCAAGGCCGCGTCGTCGTCCCTCCGGGCGTGGCGCACGGCGCGCGGATACAGATCACGGGCGTGAAGGTCCACGCGAAGATCCACGTGATGCCGTCGAAGCTGTTCGCGCGCGACGGCGCGGACATCATCTCCACGCTGCGGCTCAGCGCGGAGGACGCGGCGCGGGGCGGGTTTTTCGACGTCGAGACGCTGAGGGGCGCGGAGACGACGTGGGTGGACGAGGGCGCGAAGACGGGCGACGTCAAGGTGCGTTCTATACACTGGTCCCCATACGACCGCGTTGGCGTGGTGAACGCCATTCCTTAAGGACTTTTGCCGGCGTCTCTCTCCGCCCACCCCTCGCTTTCATTCCCCGCCATCGACGCCTTTCAACTCCATCTGACGCCTTTCAACTCCACCCCGACATCGCTTTGTATGGAACGGCCCTAAGACGCTCGAGGGGAAGGGGCTGCCGAAGGACGGCGGGGGTGTGGGCGGGGGGAAGGAGGGGGAGTGCGGGAACCACGTCGTGAAGATCGAGGTCGCGCGGAGGAAGACGCCGGAGCCGGAGGCGGCGGCGGAGGACGCGGCGGCGGAAGAGGCGGCGGCGGAAGAGGCGGACGCGGCGGCGGCGGAAGAGGCGCTGCGCGAAGCGACGGCGGCCGCCCGCTCTCTTCCGCACCCACACGCCGACGCGCTCGACGCGAAGAGGGCGAAGACGACGGGCGAGGCCGCCGCCGCCGCCGCGCCTCCCGCGGTGGACGACTTGGAGGCGCTTCTCGCGGCGAAGAAGCGGGCTTTACTCGCGGCGTTAGAAGCGAAGACCGCGCCGTAGCGTGGGCGCGGAAGAGAGCGGGCGGGCGACGTCGAAACGCGAAGTGAACCTGCAAAATGCGCCAGCAACCAAACGAGCGAATCTCCGCGCGCGTCGCCGATGCGACTCGGCCGAGAGGGCGTCCTTTCCCGTCGTCGAACGGATCCGTCCGAAGCTTCTTCGTCACTCGCGCGCGCACACGGGGCGTCGACCATGTCCGCTCGCACCGCCCTTCTTAACCTCGCGCGCCGCGCGGGCGCCGCCCCGACGCGGGTCGCGCGCCGTAACATGTCCGGCGGCGGCACCGTCGAGGAAGAGATCGGTGCGTCCCCTCCCCGCGCGGACGGATTTCGGTCTCTTTACCCTAATATCTCCTCCGTCCTCCCGTCTCCGTCTCCCCCCCATGCGACGTCGCGTCGCTGACCCGTCCCGATCCCCTCCGCGAACCCGCCCAAACCTCCTCCCCCCGCAGCCGAGATGAAGAAGTGGAAGGGCGTCAGCTTCATCGCGATGCCCGCGTGCGTCTGCCTCGGCGCGTGGTCGTTCATGAACATGGAGCACCACCACCCGGCTGAGCGGCCCGCGTACTCGTACTTGAACATTCGGAACAAAATCATGCCGTGGGGCGGGAAGTGCGGCTTGTTCGAATACGGCAAGTGCCAGGAGCCGGACGACGAGTGATGAGCGAATCGCGCGCGAGGCGAGGCGAGGCGAGGCGTCGCGGGAGGAGGAGAGCGGGCGCGTAGTGTGCGAATGCGTAAACCGGCGGGGTCGTTTTCATTTCATTCATCGCGACGTCGTCGTTCTCGTCGCGATCGAACGCGACTCGCGAGCGATCATAAACGTAGTCTCATCGTATGTACAAGGTCACGGTCAACTCAACGCAAGAAGGGCAAACACACACTGCAAGGGTGATGAACAGATTGAGTACACCGACGCGCGCGCGCGTCGCGTCGCGTCGCTCAGCGCCTCTTCTTCCCCCCTTTTGCCTTTTTCAACTCGGCCGCGTACAGCGCTCTCTCCTCCTCGAGCGCCCTCTCGCTCTCTTTGATCTTCCGCTTGAAGAGATCGAAGCACGTGAGCTGAATGCTCTTGTTCGGCGCGTTCTTCACCGCGTTCGGGACGAACCCTTTGAACAGCCCGCCGACGCCGTCTCGCGCGACGATGGCGACGCCCGCGTCCACGACGCCGGTGTACGTGGAGCTCTTCAACTGCATCTGCCGACGGATCGTGTCCAGCGGGTAGCACGTCCCGCTCGCGAGCAGCGTCGCCATGAACGACGCCGCGGCGATCGTTCGCGCGGAGTCGCTGTCCGGCATCGCGCGCTTGAAGAGATCGAACGCGCAAAAGTTAAGCGCGCTGTACGGCGCGATGGAGAGGCACGTCGCCGGGAGGCCCTTGAAGAACGCGCTCGGGCCCTCATCTTTTAAGATGGCGGTCACGACCTGCGACATCGTCTTCATGTTCGGGTCCACGGATAACCGCAGGCGGATGATGTCCAGCGGGTACGTGACCAGCGTCGCCGTGCACGCGGCGGCCGCGCCGGAGGCTAAGCGCGCGGGCACGGAGAGCTTCCCGGTCTCTTGGTCCGCGAGCTTGCTCTTGTAAAACTCGTACGAGTTCAGCATCGCGGTGCTGTACGGAAGAATCCGGATGACCTGCGGGACGTTGCCCTTCCAGTACCCTTTAAGACCTTCGGACTTCCCGATCGCGATGAACGCGGGAATGAGGCCGCCGGACGCGGCCGCTTTCGCCGCCGCGGACTGTTGATTCGCGCCGGAGACTTGCATGATGATCTTCAGTCGATCGAGCGGCGCGGTGCACGTCTTCGCGAGCGCGCCGGCGCAGCCGCCGGCGAGGAACAGCGCGAAGCCGCCGCCGAGGACCTTCGTGACGACCGCGATCGGGCGGCGCTGCATCAAGCGCGCGACGCTGACGTCGTCGTCGAGGGCGACGGCGTCGGAGACCGCGAGTTCGGGAATCGAACGATTGGCGGCGGTCGAGCCCCGGCGCGCGTGCAGCGCGCCCGTCATCGACGCGAACCGCGGGTTCGAGAGGAACGCGGGCGCGTCGGAGGCGCCGCACGCGGTCAGCGACGCCAGCGTCGGCGCGTTCGACGCCACCGCGGAGGAGGCATCGCGCGAGGCGCCGCCTCCGAGACGGCGGCCGCTCGCGGGGAAACGCGGCGCAGCGCGAATCCCTTCCTCTCTTCGTCGATTCCATCGCGCGACGCGCGTCGTCGTCGTCGCCGTCGCCGCGGACGTCTCGGTATCGCGAAGGATCGCCATCCTTCCGTGGTATGCGATGAAGGTCGCGCCGACGAAACGAACGTTCGGCCTCGGGAACGGCGCGGGTGCTGCGCGTGCGCGGCGGCGGTCGCACTGTCGTGGGCGATAAAGCGCCCGGGCTGCGCTTTATTCCGTCATTCCCGATCGCCGCAACGCAACGCGCAACGGTTTTCGCGCCGGCGGCTGGGCGGCGGCTGTTCAAAAGTTTTTCACCCATCCCTCGGTTTCAACATTTGATCGCGTCTCGTTTCAACTGACCGATGAACTTTTTTTTGTTGGAAGGCCCTGAGATCAATCCGCAGAGCTCACAGCACACACGGACGGGAGGCGGCGGATTCCGCGGCGACGACGCATTTCCCGTTCGCGCGCGCGCCGCCGGTCGGTCCACCCCCCCCCCCGCGCGCACCATGGCGAAGACGCGACGGAAGAAGGTCCGAACGCACGTCGAAGCCACGGGCGCGGACAAGTCCGGGGCGACGAAGACCGCGACGCCGCGCTCGTTCGTGTTTCGACGCGGGAAGCTCTCCGAGCTCGTCAAGGCGCGTTCTGATTCACACTGGTCCCCATACGACCGCGTCGGCGTGGTGAACGCCGATCCTTAAGGACTTTCGCCGTCGTCTCTCTCCGCCCACACCTCGGTTTAATCCCCGCCCGCGATGCCTTTCAACTCCACCTGACGCCTTTCAACTCCACCCCGACAACGTCAAGGATCTGGAGAACGACCTCCGCGACGTGATGAAGCCGCACACCGCGGCGAACCTGAAGGAGAGCAAAGGAAACAAGCTGAAGGACTTCGTGCAGGTGTCCGGCGTGCTCGGCGTCTCGCACTTCCTCATGCTGTCCGCGACGGAGGCGAGCAAGTACGTCAAGGTGTGCAAGACCCCGCGCGGGCCGACGCTGTCGTTCCGCGTGCATCAGTACACGCTCGCGCGCGAGGTGCTCGCGTCGCAGCGCAACCCGAGGGCGCCGAAGAACGCGTTCCTCTCCCCGCCGCTCGTGGTGTTGAACAACTTCGGCGACGCCCCGCATCAGAAGCTCGCGACGATCACGTTCCAGAACCTCTTCCCCGCGATCAACGTGCGCAAGGTGAAGCTCTCAACGTGCCAGCGCGCGGTGCTCATCGACTACGACAAGACCACCGGGAGGTTCCAGGCGCGTTCTCCTCACACTGGTCCCCATACGGCCGCGTCGGCGTGGTGAACGCCGATCCTTGAGGACTTTTCCCGTCGTCTCTCTCCGCCCACACCTCGCGTTCAATACCCGCCCTCGACGCCTTTCAACTCCCAAGTCTGACGCCTTTCGACTCCACCCCGACGTTCGCTCGTACGGAACGACCCTCAGTTCCGGCACTACGGCGTCTCCGCCGCGCCGACGGGGACGAACAAGGCGATCCGCAAGCTGCTCACGACGCGTCGAGTTCCGAACATGGGCGACCTCGCGGACGTCAGCGAGCTCCTCACGAGCAAAGGTTACGGCAGCGACCACAGCGACAGCGAGGGCGAAGACGCGGTGAACGCGCGCGTGGACTTGACGCAAGATTACAACCGTGTCGCGCGCGAAGGAACGCGGTCGCGGATCATCCTGCAGGAGATTGGCCCGCGGATGGAGCTCGAGCTCGTGAAGGTGGAGGAGGGGATGTGCGAGGGGCGGGTGTTGTATCACGCGTACGTGAAGAAGACGGAGGAGGAGGTGTTGGAGCTGGAGAATAAGGCGGTGACGAAGGAGGCGCTGCGGAAGCGACGGAGGGAGGAACAGGAGGCGAACGTGCGGAGGAAGGAGAGAGAGGCGAAGGAGAAGGCGGCGATGGAGGAAGAACTCGCGGGGATGAAGAAGAGGAAGCGCGATAATAAATCCGCCCGGGATAAGCTCGACGAGAACGGACGGAAGAAAAAGAAGGGGGCGAGCGGCGCGGAGAAGAGACGCGACGGCGGCGACGACGACGAGGCGCCGTTTAAGCGCGGTCGAAAGAGTCAGTACAAGGACAGGGAAGGCGGCGGCGGCGGCGGAAGCGGCGGCGGCGGGAAGAAATCGCCGGCGGGGACGAAGGGCAAGGACAAGAACAAGCGCCCGGGGAAGGGTGCGCGCGCGAAGAGGAAGTAGAGACACACGCTCGGCCACGCGGTACGCGCGACGTCTCGCGTCTCGCTCGCGTCTTCAAAAGTTGTCGGGATTGTACATCCGCATCGCCCCCGTCCGGAGCAACGTGTTGTACATCTCGCTCTTATCCGCGCGCGCTTCATCGGCTTCTTCTTCCTCCTCCGCCGCGATCTCCGCGTCGATGACGTCGATCTTGATGGCGCTCTGCGCGCGCGTCCCGGTCATCGGGAACGCCTCGCCGGGTAAGGCGACGTCGGCGGCGTCGTACCACGTCGCGCTCTTGTCTCTTTTTTTCTGGATCCGTCGACGCGCGACCGCGTCGTGGGCGCGTTGGTGCGCCTTCCCGGACAGGCGGTCGAACATCCCGGAGACGACTTCCAAGTCTTTCGCGTCCTGCGCCTTCCGCATCGACTTCAAACGCATCCGCTGCTTGTGCAGGTCGTGCTCCAGAGCGAAGAACGCCTTCGTGTCGTTCGCCGCCGCGGCGTGTTTCAAAGCGGCGAAAAAATCCACCTCGGCCTCGTCCCACTTCAGCGTGTCTATGCGGCACGTCCCTCGCCTCAGCAGCGCCTTGATGTTCCCCGGGGAGAGGTCCAGCGCTTCCGTGCACGCGATCTCCGCGTCGTGGAACGCGTCGCGTTTCATGAGACACACCGCGAGATTGTTATACAACGCCGCGCCCATCGCCTCCGCGTCGCGGTTGGTCTTCGCGCGACGCCGCAGGTCGTGTTTCGGTCGGTCAGTTGAAAGGGAGCGCGATCGAATGTTGAAACCGAGGGGTGGGTGAGTTAAAAACGTGGTCTGTAGTTTGCACAGAACGAACGCACCTTCGTCTCCTCCGCGGTGGGCACGTTCGAGTGCACGAACTCCGCGCCCATCACGGTGAACATCTCCACCCCCGCGGCGTACTTGACCTCCGCGCGTCGCGCGCGTCCTTCTTTCAGGAGCTTATTCCCGAGGCGTTTCAGCGCTTCGCCGCGCTCGAGCTTCTGCTTCGCCGTGCCGCTGAGGGTCGTTCCATACAAAAATAGTTCATCGGTCAGTTGAAAAGGAACGCGATCAAATGTTGAAACCGGGCGATGGGTGAAAAACTTTTATCGCACCTGATCTTCCCCGGCCACGCGTCCTCCACCGCGAGCACGTCCACCTCGAAGTGCGTCTCGTCGTAGCGACGCTTCGTGATGTCTATCGCTCCGGGGGCGAATAACGGCGCGTCGTCCGTCAGCGTTCGGTCCATCGTGCACGAGACCAAGAAGACGTCCCCCGCGGTCATCCCCGCGCCGTCCTCGCCGCCGCGGAGCAGCGCGGTCTCGACGCCCTCGACGAGCGCGCCGTCGACGTGCACGACGTGCGTCGTCGCCTTCGACGACGCCGCGTCGTCGTCGTCGTCGCCGCCGCCCCGCTCGCCGGGGCCGGGCGCGACGCGGAGACGGAGCGCGACGCGCGAGTTCGCGTCCACCCGCTTCGCGTCTCTCGTCGCGAGGGCGTTCCGCGCGAGGCGGACGACGACGTGCCCGTCGTCGAGCTCGATCGCGGGCGCGAACGCGGGGGGGGTCGCGTAGGACGTCACCGCGAAGCCCTCAGAGGACGCCATGACGCGACGTGTTAAACGTTAAAACGTGTCCGCGCGAGGAGGAGGAGGAGGAGGAGGACCCGCGGCGGCGGACGAAGACGGCGACGGCGGCGACGACGGCGCCGGCGGCGGCGAGGGGAAACGCGCGCGGGGTGTCGTGCGACGCGTGTCTCGCGCGCGGAGGCGTGTGGCGCGCGCGTTAGGGCCGGGAGGGTCGACGAACGCGAACCCCGGGCGGGAGCCGAAGAGTCGCGAAAAAAACCAAAAAACCAAAAAACCAAAAAACGTCGCGTCGCGTCGTCGTTCGTGTCGCTCGTATGCATCGTTCGTCATCACACGCTACGCGTCGTCGTCGTCGTCGTCGTCGTCTTCACGTTTTCATCGTCGTAACGGCCGCACTCGAGCCGTTCACCCCCCCCGCGCGGACGCCTTACACCGCAGCACCCCGCACACGCTCTGCCGGCAACACGGGCACCGATCCGGCTGCCCCGAGCGCATCGCCTCCGTCGCGACCCGATCCACGCACCCGACGCAATACAACATGTGCATGCACGGCATCAACACCGCGTCTCGCCGCTCCTCGAAGCAAATTTGGCACGTGAGCTCGTTCTCCGCGATCTCGAGCGCGTCCCTCGCGTCCTCGAGCTGCGCGGAGAGCCCGGCGACGAGCCGCTCGACGTCCTCGGGCGGGCGCGAGTCCGGGCTCGTCAGCCGCGATCGCGAACGCTCGTCGTCTTCGTCGTCGTCCGCGTCGTCCGCGTCGTCCGCGTCCGATACCTCGCGCATGGACGCCTCCGCCGCGGCCGCGAGTTGACGCTCCTCGACGCGATACGCCTCGAGCGCGCGGCGGTCCTCGATCGTCGCGACGAACGCCGCCGCCGCCGTCGTCTGCTGCGGGAACGACGCGGGATAGGGCACGCCCGCGCGCGCGTAGACCTCTTGCGCGGCGGCGATGACGGCGTCCGCGCACTCCTCAGGCGTGGAGACGTGCGGCAGCTCGCGGCGGCGGAACGCGTCCGCGGTGGCCTCCGCGGCGCGCGCGGCGGCGGACGCCGCCTCCGCCGCGGCCTGCGCGGACGGCGCGGCCGATACCTCGCGCATGGACGCCTCCGCCGCGGCCGCGAGTTGACGCTCCTCGACGCGATACGCCTCGAGCGCGCGGCGGCCGCGTTCGAGTTCCAGTTCGCGGTCGCGGTCGCGGCGGCTTCGCTCCAACGCCGCGGACACCGCCATCGGGTAGTCGCGTTCGCGGTCGCGTTCGCGGTCGCGATCGCGGTCGTGGTCGCGGTCGCGGCGGCTTCGCTCCAACGCGCGGCGCGCCGTCTCGACGTCTCTTCGAACGTCTTCGAGGAGCTCGCGGTGGTCGGGAGCGAGCGCGTCGCCGCGTCGCCGCGTCGCCGCGCGCGCGACGCGTCTGATGACCGGGTCAAAATCTGGGGAGGGCGTGACGCGCCCGTGCGACGCGCGCGCTTCGTACTCGCGCCACGCGTCTTCGCCGAACGTGGAGCGGACGACCCTGTCGACGCGGTTCGGACCGCGGCCGAGGACGTCGTCGACGTCGTCGTCGTCGTCGTCGTCCTCGTCGTCGTCGTCGTCCTCGTCCTCGTCGTACTGGTCCCGGTCCCTTCCGTCCTCGTCGTCGACGGACTGGTACGCCTCGTCGTCGTCGCTGGAGACCGCCGCGCGCTCGACGACGACGCGGCGACGCTCTTCGCGGTGCTTACGATGCACCGCCCACGCCGTCGCGATCGCGTCGGCGCGTTGGCTCGTCTGCCGGGTCGCGAACGCGCGGTCGCCGTTCACCGAGCTGAACACGATGATCTGCGATCGCAACGCGGCGTACTCTTCCAAGAGCGCGACGTGCACGCCGCCGCGACGGGACAACAGGCGCATCGAACACGCTCGGGCGAGCGTGTTCATGGCGTCGACGGCGCTAACCTCGATGACGGACCGACAGAGCTGCGGCGGCCGGTCCGTCGGCACGTCGACGAGCTCTGTCACCCGGTTCACCCAATCGCTCGCCTCGGCGTCGGTCCACCCGCCGTGTTCCAGGGGTTTCCATCCGATCGATTTCACGCTCCCGTACAGCATGAGAATCTGGACGCCGTAGACGCAGAGGGCCCAGTGAAGGTACCACGGGGTTTTGTACGCGTCTTCGGCGGCTTCTTCTTCTTCGGGGTGGATCACGACCCTCGCCACTCGATCGAGCACCCGCGCGGAACCGAACTTCAGGAACTTGAGGCGCTCGAGCCACGTCGTTCGGTGCACCTGGAACCACTCGTCCTCTTGCGCGTTCAAGGATATGGACGCCTCCACGTCTGCGGGAGCAAGTCGGGCGGGAGAAAGGGACGGTCCGGTCGGGGGAAGCGAGTCGCGCGGCGCGAGCGAGGCGTCGAAAAAGTGAAAGAAGAAACTTCTTTTCCTCGCGTTTTTGGCACTGCCAAAAAAGAGACGCACGCGTCGGGAAGGGGCGGGGACGCGCGACGCGCGGGGGGCACGCGTACGCGTCGCGCACCGCTGAAGATCCGCGACAAGGAGGGGCACGCGTTCGCGCACGGGACGAGATCCCGAACGCGTCCGCGCCAGTGATCTTTGCACTGATCCCACGTCGGCTGCTGCGCGTCCCAGCGAAACTGCGCCTCGAGCTCGAGGACCGCGCGTCGCAGCGCGTCGAGGCGCCGCGCGTTCGACGCGCGCAGGTCCGACGGCTCGTCGCCGTACGCGACGTCGACGTCGGCGGCGTCGCGGGGCGAGCGCGGCGGCGCGGGCGGGGTGATCGGCTGCGACGGCGACGGTGACGGCGACGCGCGCGCGCGCGTCCGCGGCGGCGCGTCCGGCGGCGACGTCGAGTCCTCGCGCCTCGAGTTGTCGTCTCGCCCCGAGGAAGGCGCCGGCGGCGCCCCCCGAAACGCGTCGAGGAGGTCGCCTCCCGCGCGCGGGCGATCGGGGGGCGGATCGAGCGCGGCTCGCCGACGCTGCGGGCACGGGTCCGCCGCGTCGGACGCCATCGCCGTCGCCGTCCGTCGCGCGCGCGGTGGGGAGTCGGCGCGCGCTGCCCTCGTTTCGTCGTCGCCGAGGAGAGCGCGCGTCGTCGTTCAAACCAAACGCCGCGCGCGCCGCCTCGTCGCTGACGTGGAGCCGTCGTCGAAAGGGCCGACGCGAGGCGAGCGCGGTGGTGTAGCGACGCCGCGATTGACCGGCTGCCTCGACTCGGTCGACCCGCCTCGAACGCGACGAAACAGAACCACGCCGAGTTTTGGCGCTGGACGCAAACGTCGACGCACTTTGGTTTCGTCGGACGCGACGACGGCGAGCACGCACACGCGGCAGCGCGGCCGCCGGCGGCGTCGGTCACCCTCTCTCCGACTCGCGGACGTCAGAATGAACCCCTCCGCGCGGTGCGGCGCCGTCGCCGCCGCCGCCGCCGCCGCTCGCGCCGCCGCGTCCGCGTCCCCGCGCGACGCGGCGCGATGCGAGGACGGTGCCGACGTCACCGCCGCGGGTCCGTCGTCGTCGTCGTCGTCGTCGTCCTCCTCCTCCTCCTCCTCCTCCCCGTCGCCCGCGCCTCTGGACGCGCCGATCGCGAGGGCGTACCCGAGCGACGCCGCGAGCAAATCCACCGCGAAGTGGCGCGTGTACACGGACATCGCGCGCGACCACAGCGCGCGCGGGCGCCACGCGGACGCGGATCGGTACCTCCGCCGCGCGATCGCGGAGGCGACGAACGGATTCGGCCCCGAGGACCCGCACGTCGCGGCGGCGAAGAACAACCTCGCGGAGTCGCTCCGCCTTCAAAAGCGCCACGCCGAGGCGGAGAAGTTATTCAAGGAAGCCGCGGCCGCGCTGGAGCGTCACTACGGCGCGACGCACCCCGCGGTCGGCGTCGCGTGGCACAACTACGCGGGATGCGTCTTCGCGCGCGGCGATCACCGCGCCGCGTACGACGCGTACGCCGCCGCGGCTGAGGCGCGTTCTGATTCGCACTGGTCCCCATACGACCGCGTTCGCGTTGTGAACTTCATTCCTTGAGGACTTTCTCTCCCGGCGCGCGTTTCTCTCCGCCCACCAAGGGTCCCTCGATTTCGATCCCGACGCGTCGCGACGCCTTTGATGAACTCCGCTTCTGACGCCTTTCGACTCCGCCCCGACGTTCGTCGCTTCGCGCGCTGCCGCCGCCGCCGCTCAGAAGAAAGCCAAGGCGCTCGGGCGACAGCACCCGGAGTACGCCACGACGCTGTTTCACATGGCGGAGGCGAAGCGCGCGGGCGGCGACGCGGCCGCGGCGGCGGTGTTGCTGGAGGAGAGTCTGAGGATATCCGACGCGGCGGGTCGCGGCGACGGGTCGACGGCGCTGCGGTGCGTTCTATCTCACACTGGTTCCCATACGACCGCGTTGGCGTGGTGAACGCCGATCCTTAAGGACTTTCTCTCCCGGCGTTTCTCTCCGCCCACACATCGCTTTCAATCCCGACACACCTCGACGCCTTTCAACTTCGCTTCTGACGCCTATGAACTCCACCCCGACGTTCGCTCGTATGGACCCTCGACCCTGAGGCGGATGGAACGGTTGGCGCAGACGCGCGGGGATTTGATGCGGGACCACCACGCCGCGGAGGGGATCCGAAGGCGGGTGCTGGAGGCGCGGGAGCACGCGGCGTGGGTCGCGAGCGGCGGCGTAAGCGGCGTAAGCGGCGTAAGCGGCGGCGCGGGGCCCGGGGTCGAAGGAGAGAGCGACGACGACGACGACGCGGCGACCGCGGCGGCGGCGGCGGCGCGCGCGAGGGGAAAGCGACGCGGGGTCACGAGCGCCGCCGCCGCCGCGCGGCACGGCGGCGCGATCGCGGCCGCCGCGGAGGCCCTCGCGGGATCGCTCGTCGAGCTCGGGCGCTACGACGAAGCCCTGGACGCGATGCGGCGCGGCGTGGACGTGCTCGAGCTGCGCGCCGGCGGCGGCGCGTCGACCGCATTGGACGCCGCGGAGGCTGCGCTTCTCCGCGCGTTCACGACGGCGCGGCGGGCGTTGGGGCTCGACCGGCTCGGCGGCGCGCTCGCGGCGAACGCGGCGAGAAACGACGCGCTGCAGCTCGCGTCCGCGCGCGTGCGGTTGGCGGAGGTCGAGGCGAGGGCGGCGAGGGCGCGCGGCGGCGGCGGCGGCGCGGACGCGGGCGCGGACGCGGACGAGGCTTCGGCGCAGCTCAGACGCGCCGTCCGCGCGCTGCAGCCGATGGCGGAGACCGCGGCGGGAGAGATGGCCGCGGACGTCTCCGAGAGCGGCGAGAGGGCGCGCGCGGAGCGCGAGCGCGAGCGCGAGGACGAGGGCGACGAGGGCGACGAGGGCGACGAGGGCGACGAGAGCGGAGACGCGCGCGGCGTCGCCGCGGAGATTCGACGGCGCGAAGCCGCGGCGGCGCCGGAGCGTCGCGTCGCGTCGTTGGTGTTGTTCGCTCGAGCCGCGCGCGGGATCCTCGCGCTGAAGCGTCGCGCCGAGAGTACTTCTTCTTCTTCTTCTAATTCGTCGTCGTCGTTCGATGACGCGAGCGCGCACGTCGGGGACGCGCTGGAGTGGTTGTACGCGGGGTGGGCGTCGGCGGCGGCGGCGGCGTCGGCGGCGGATGCGGTTGCGGAAGCGTCGTCGTCCGCCGGCGGCGGGGCGAAGAGCGCGCGCGTCGGGGGCGAGAGCGGCGGCGGCGGCGTCTCGAACGACGCGCGACGACGCCTCGCGATCATCACGAGGGAGCTTCGCGAGTGCAGGTCCGCGCTCTCGCGCGGGGCGTGACGCGAACGCGCCGCGACGGCGGCGGCGACGCGCGCGGACGCGCGATATTTATTTTGTGGTGTCGAGAAGAATTCGTTCGAACGCTGTTCTCGACCTTTTCGCGCGCCGCTAGTGCTATCCCCGTCCGCTAGGTATCCCCCCCGCTACGTCCCCGCTACCGCGCCCTCCTTCCCCTCGCTCAAAACCCCTCCGGTATGAGCGTTTTCAGGTCTTCCGGCTCGTACACGACGGTGATGACGAGCGAACACGACGGGCAGTGCCCGATCTCTTCCCCCGCGCGCAGCTCCTCGGGGCTGATCTGAAACAGGTCCCCGCACGGGCACTGGTACGTGAACGCGCCGAGCTCCGCGTTCCATTCCATGTCCTCGAGGTCGACCTCGTCGTAGGACGACATCGCGGCGACGTCGTTCGAGTCGACGCGTCGCGCGCGCGTGCGGCGGCGGCGTCGAGAGGAATGGCGGCAGGGAGAAGAAATGTCGGCGCGTGGCTCGGGTGGGTCGTCACGCAGAACTGTCACGCAGCCAGTCGTCGAGCGCCAGTCCCCAGAGCAAGTGCCCAGACAGATGAGACGACCGTTTGAGGGCGAATTTCGAATCCGCACTCGCGAGCGCACGCGTCGTGCACCGCGGAACGCTCGAGGCGCGACGCTCGAGCGGGCATCGCCTCGCGCGAAGGCTCTTCAAACGCGTCCGCGCGCGCCGGCGGGCAGCGCGCGCGCTCGTCCGCGCCGGCGTCGTCGCGGCGCGCTCGTCGTCTCGTCCGAGAGAAAAAAATCCCGCATCAGAAGAATCCGTCGCGACCGAGGGAGGCGAAGGACCATCGTCACCGCGCGCGATGGGGGGCTCGCGGCACCACCCCGAGCGCGCGGCCCGGCGCGTATCGCTCCAGCAGCGCTACGAGGACGACGCCGCGCGGCAGCAACGCGAGAAGAAGCTCGAGCGCGGGGAGGACGAGCTCGTGCCCGTCGATCTGAGGGACGACCCGAGCGTCCCGGACGAGTTCGTGAAAGAGCTGTCGTGCTACGGCGGCGGCGTCAAGTCGCTGACGCAAATCACGCACCTTGCTCGGTTCGCGAACCTGCGATCGCTGTGCGTGAACGGATGCGCGCTGACGAGGATGGACGTCGACCCGCTCATGCGTCCGTGCGCGACGCACCTCGTGGAGCTCAATCTGTCCTCCAACGCCATCGCCGCCGTCGAAGGCCTCTGCGCGTTGCCCGCGCTGAAGCGGTTAGACCTGACGAACAATCGCATCGCGTCGTTGTCCGGCGTCGACGACGGCGCGCCTTTACTGGAGACGCTGATGATGCGGGATAACAGGGTGCGGTCCCTGCACGCGTTGACGACGCCGCGGCGGGACGGGAAGCGTTGGGCGCTGAAACATCTGGACGTTAGACGGAACCGCATCGGATCGTTCGCGGACGTCGCCGCGGGGCTGCGCGCGGTCGCGTCCCTGCGGTCGATACGATTCAAGTCGACGCCGGACTCGGACTCGACCGCGAGTTCGTTGGACGCGATGAGCGTCGCGAGGAGCGGGAACGACAACGCGGTGTGCGCGATGGCGAATTATCGCGACGCCATCGCCGCCATCGCGCCGTGGATCGAAGAGTTGGACTCCGTCCCCATCGCCGCGGACGCCGTCGCGCTCGAGCGGGGTGAATCCGCGGTCGGGAAGGATTTGAACGAGAAACGCGCGGTGAAGGAGACGGAGGCGGAGGTTCGAAGCGCGGGCGGCGGCGGCGGAGGCGCGAAGCCGGCGGCGTCGAAGTCGCCGAAGCGCACGCCGAAGATCGACGAGGCGCTGCAACGGTACCGCGCGAGGTCCGGGCGGTCGATCGACCTCCCGCCTCGGCGCGACCTGGAATACGAAAAGGCGCCGGCGCGAGAAGAACCTGAACCGTCGCGTCGAAGCCGACGTCGCGAGCCGGAGCCGGAGCCGGAGCCGTCCAACTCGGACGCGTCCGGCGAGTCGTACGAGCTCACGCCCACGCGCGCGGTCTCGCGCCGCGAGCGCGCGTTCACCTCCCCGGCGCGCTCGCGGAAGAGCGTCCAGGTGGCCGTGGACGACCCCGCGGTCGTGGACCACGAGATGCGACTCCAGCGGATCGAACGGAATATCCTCCCGGTGGTGTCGGAAGCCAGGCGGCGAGCGGCGGCGACCGTCGCGGAGGCGGAGGATGCCGCGCGACGACGCGAGGCGGGGACGCAAGCGACGAGCAGCGCCGCGGACGCGGACGCCGCGGACGCGGACGCCGCGAATCGCGCGTCCAGGAAGAGGAAGGAGGAGGACGAGGACTCCTCCAGAGTCGCGAGGGTGTCGGGGGAGCTCGCGGCGTTGAAGAAGAGAGTGGAGGAGGTGGCGGCGGCGGCGGCGCCCGAGACGCGGGAGGAGCCCGCCGCCGCGGCGTCGGCCGCGGCGGCGACGGGTAAGCGAGAGAAGCGGGCGGCGAGCAAGGTCGTGCCGCCGCCGGAGCCGCCGAAGACGCGCCGCGGTCGCTCGGAGGCGAAGGCGGCGGCGGCGGCGGCGGCGACCGCCGCCGCGCCGGGGGCGCTGACGCCGGCGCCGGCGACGCGGGGCGGGGGACCACAAAAGAAGCCGAGCGCCGCGTCGTCGACGTCGTGGGCGGACATGACCGAGGTGGAGGACGCGAGCGGCGCCGCGGTGGCGTCGAGTTCCGCGTTGGACCCGACCGCGCCGTCGTTCACCGCGCCCGCGGTGGTTTCAAAGGAGAAGAAGGACAAGAAGGAGAAGACGAAACCGGGAGCGATCGAGACGACGGTGGCTTCCTACGTCGCCACCGCGGGGGCGCTGCCGCCGACGCCGTCGCCGAAAGACCGCGAGATGCAGCGCGTGAAAGCGGAGCTCGAAGAAGCGAAGGCTGAGATCGAGATGCACGTGGAGGCGATCCGGTGGCTGACGGAGCAAAACGCGGAGACGGCGTCTCGGCGCGACGCCGCGGACGCCGCCGCCGCCGCCACCGCCGCCGCCGCCGCCGCCGCGGAGGCGACGCTCGCGGAGGTCCGAGAGGAAGCGAGCGCGAACCTCGGCGCCATGCGCGCCATGCACGTCTCCGAGCTCGAGTCGAAGACCGCCGCGCTCGAGGCGGCGACGCGCGCGAAGGACGAAGCGACGCGGCTCGCCGAGGCGTCGCGCGCGAAACTCGCCGCCGTGGAGGACGAGTTCCGCGCGGCGCTCGGAGAGTTCGAGACGGAGCGCGCGGTCGGCGCGCGCGAGGTGGAGGAGCTCCGCGCGGTCGCGCGCGCCGCGGTCAGCGGGCGCAAAGACGCGGAAGCGCTCGCGGAGGAGCTCGCGGACGTGTGCGAGCAGCAGAGGCGAGCGCTCGAGGAGCTGTCCCGGGAAAAGCGGCTTCGCGCGAGAGCCGAGGACGACCTCGCGGCGGCGCGGAACGACCTCGGGGAGATGCAGACGCGGACGCGCAAGGCGGAGAAGCGCGCGACGCTCGCGGAGGCGGGGGAGAAGGCGGCGAAGGAGGAGCTCGCGCGGATCAGGGAGACGGAGCTGAGAGCGACCGCGGGGTTGAAGGAGGTTGACGCGATGAGGGCGCAGATGGAGTTGGCCAAGGATAACGTTCGGATCAAGGACGCGATGTTGGAGTCGCAGTGCGAGCTCATCGCGTCGCTTAAACATGAAGCCGCGCGGAGCAAGGACGCGAAGGACGGCGCGGTGAACAAGGCTGCGGACGCGGAGCGTAAATCCGACGAGAAGGCGCGACGCCTCGAAGAGGAACTCCGTCTGATGCGCGCGGATCTCGCCGCCGCGGACGCCGCCGTGGACAAGCTCGAACGCGACGCCGAGGACGCCCGCGTCGCGCGCGTCGCCGCGGAGGACAAGGCCGAGGCGATGACGCGCGAGATCGAAGAGCGCGACCAGATGCTGTCGTACGTCAGCGGCGAGGTCGAGAACGTCAAGTCCCTCTTTAGCGAGCGCGAGCGAAATCTCCGCGCCGAGCGCGACGAGCTCGCCGCCGCCGTCGCCGACCGCGACGCGATCGAAGCCGACGCGCGCGCCGAGGCGAGACGCGCGCGCGAGGACGCGGTCGCGGTCAGAGCCGAGTGCGAGTCGTCCATCGTCGCCGCGCGCGAGAGGGAGGCGGCGGCGGCGAAGCGGGAGCACGCCGCGGGCGAGCGCGTGCGGAGGATCGAAGGGGAGATGCGCGCGCTGTTGGCGGAGGTTGCGTCGCAAAAACGGCACTCGCGCGATCGCGCGAAAGAGCTGGGGACGATGCTGAAGGACCTCTACGCGTGAGTGACATGACGACGCGTCGGACGCGAGGGCGGGCGGGTCTTAGGGAGAGCTGTTGTTAATTAATACGGCGCGTCCGCCCGCGCGAGGTGCCGCGTCGTCGCGCGCGCGCGACGCCTTTCCTTTCGACGACGGGCTTGGTTCGTAATTTAATTTTCCTCGCCAGCGGCTCTCGACGTCGTCAGGTCGTCGCTCGTCGCCGGTCGCGATTCCTCCCTCCCCGCGCCTCGTCACTTCGTCGCGCGCGTCGGCGGACCGAACACCGCCCGCGCGGTCGTCGCGTCATCATGTCCCCCACGACGACGACGACTCCCACCCCCGCGGCGCCGTACGCCGTCGTCGCGCTCTGCACGCTCGTCGCGGTGCTCGCGTATCCCGCGCTGAGGTGCGTTCTATCTCACACTGGTCCCCATACGACCGCGTTGGCGTGGTGAACGCCGATCCTTAAGGACGTTTCCCGGCGTGTCTCTCCGCCCAGGGTCCCTCGGTTTCAATACCGACACACCTCGACGCCTTTCAACTCCACCTGACGCCTTTGCACTCCACCCCGACAATCGCTCGTATGGAACGACCCTGAGGCTGATCCTCAAGATGCTCGGCCAGATCGCCTCTCTCCCCGGCGGCGGGAAGCGCGTCGTCGGCGGCGGCTACGGCGGCGCCGCGGGCGAGTACACCGTCTCGGAGGTGGCGAAACACGACACGAAGGACGACCTGTGGGTCGTGATCAAGGGGAAGGTGTACGACCTCACGGAGTACGCGGACGAGCATCCGGGTGGCGTCGCGGCGATAACGAAGCACGCGGGCGGGGACGCGACGGCGGGGTTCTTCGGGCCGCAGCACCCGTCGCGGGTGCACGACATGGTGGACGAGTACAAGATTGGCGTGATCGTAGACGAGGGGAAGGCGGCGTGAGGAGGAAGGAGGAACGGCGGGCGAGGTGGTAGAAGAGAGAAGAGCGGCGCGGAGGATCGGATCGATCGAGGACGTCGCGAACGCGAACGACGACTCGCGATCGCTCTTCTTGAGGATAAATTTTAAATTATGCTTCGCCGCCCGCCTCCCCGACCTCCTCCGCCTCCTCGTCCTCGACCACCGCGGACTGATCCTGATCCTGATCCTGATCCAGCAGCAGCGGCACGTCGAACAGCTCCGAGTCGCTCCCTTGCCCCTCCCCGCTCGCGATCGTCACGTCTCTCAACGACGCGAGCTCGGCTCGTAGCGCGTCCGCTTCTCTCCGCGCCGCCGACGCGCTCGCCTCCGCCTCTTCCAGCGCCTCGCTCTTCTCCCTGAGCGCGCTCTCGCGCTCTCGAAGCGCCGCGTCTCTCTGTTCGAGCTGCGCGTCGCGGTCGTTGAGTTCGTCCGCGAGCGCCGCGCACGCGGCGACGGAGGAGTCGAGCTGGAGTTCGCGCGCCGCGAGTCGTTCCGAAGTCTCGTCGAGCTCGGCTTTGGCGTTCGCGAGGGCGGCGTTGACGCGCGCGAGCTTGTCTCGCATCGCGGCCGCGACGCCGGTGCCTTCCGCGTCGATCAAGATCTCGAGCGCGACGACCGTCGGCGGGTCTGGGGGGGGTTTGGAGGAGGCTTTCTTCGACGGAGACTTGGCCTTCTTCGGCGTCGTCGCCGTCGTCGTCGCCGCCGCCGCCGCCGCGGGCTTTTCCTTCGTCGACCACGACCACCAGGACGAC